TCACCCGTTGCAAGCAGCATATGCCGCAAGCGCTCTGCATGTCGGCTAATAGTAAACTTGTAATATGATGCCTGCACAACAACGTCGAATTTATCTATTTCAGTATCCATCCGATGGTTAGTTCTCTCTCATGACGACAAAGAAGAAAGTGCGATACTGGGAAACGGGAAAACGTACGCTTGTCCCATACTGCCTGATCGAAGCCCTGCACCTTGCGCCCCAGTCCCTTGTGCTTGCGTGGATCGGTTGTTCGCAGCATTTTTTGTGCCGTGTCATTGTCGTTGAAAAGCAGCGCTTTTTGAATCATCATATACATTTCGCATGTCGCATACGTAGTGCCTGAGACGGTGAAGGGAGAGGCGTACCATTGGCAGAGGTAGCCATTACTTTCACCATGTTTCCAAAAGAAGATGGGTTCAGAAGAGCATGGGGGGTCGGTTGGTGCTAGTTCTGACATTTTTCTTCTTCTTCTTCTTCTTCTTCTCTCTCTCTTCTTCTGCCAGATGGGAACCGTGCTATGTGGACTAAGGCTGGTGTTGTTCAAGATGTTGTTTGGAGTACTCGAGGACAAGATACAGGTTGAGCATGTGAAGTCGCACCGAAGTCGCAGGGAAGTCTCCATTTAATATAGATACGTCGGTTGAGATGTGACTCAAATATCTGGAGTCTTTTGTTTGGTTGTCGTTATGCTTTGAGCACTAGGATCAGTTTTGTACCGTGCGTCAAAGCCAGTTACGCCCTTTTTTGTTTTATGCATTTCGTTTACCAGACTTTCTACAGTTTCGAGTTGGGACAGCCTTGCTATCTAAATCGGATTTGGCTTCTGATCTAGGGTGATTTTACAACTTACCATACAGTAATAAACCATCCTCTCCCAGCCTTGGTATATTACAACCCAAAGGGTAAGATTTCATGTTCGGTATTTAAAGCCCTGATATCTGGATGCGAGGGGGGACCGTATTTCTCTCAGGGCCCGAGTTGGTGAGTCATTTAGCGAGAGGGCGCAAGGCAGTCGACGGATCGACTACATGTGAGGACTTGCGATTTTGCATGTTCATTATTACAATCATCAAGCGCGAGCTTCTGTTCACAGTTGAAATGCAAAACGTGTGAATGCGTATGCAATCAGGGCCATAGGGCCAATATGAACACAGTTCCGTAAGGTGCCATCGAGTCACCAGATGGAAAGACATATTCAAGCACGTGACTATGGCTATAGCTACTGTCATAGCCGATGGCTCCGGAGCATGAAAAGAAGCTGCATTCTGCTTGCATATGAAAACGTATCGGAGCTTTCACAGCGCCAGATTTCCCTCGATGTATACTTTGTCATGCTTGTATATTCTATCATGCAAAAAACAAGTTCCATGGGTACTGCCACCAAACCTGACTCGAAACACGCGACAGTTTTTATAGCCAGACTAGCCGGCTCTAGGTAACGAGCAACTCTCTGGGCCCGGGCTTACCAACGTACTACTGCAAATCACCCAGATGACAAATGGCATGCGCCCAAGGACGCCCGGCAGCTGCTGACACCTGCTTGGTACTATGTATACTTGCACAGTGATGTCTTTGGACAAGACCTTGCTCATCTGAAACCATATTGTCAGCAATCTACTCGCCTTGGTTGCCTGTGCTGTGATACACGTTGTTCCACAACTTCGAGAGCGTGGAGCCCGCCAAGGGCGAAGCCCCATCCGGTCGCAACGGTAACCCTATCAACGTGCATTTGTCAGGCGACAGCCGCGGCTCGAAGCACAGAGTTGAGACCATGCAGTGGTAGTAGGTGTGTGGCCAGTCTGAAAACGGTGCAGGGTACAGTAGTAGGGTAGCAAAGAATTTCGTCCGTACTACACTAAACCTGATCGCGCTTCATCAACCGCTCATCAACACGCTGCTGGCAGAGATGCGGAATGCATGACTCGCCACCAGAGACAGATAGTCCACTTTTGCAGACCGCTGAAAGTACGTCCGGCGGGGCAAAGATACTCTTAGGACCAAGGAGAGATGAACAAGTCTCTTGGCAGGGTTGCCTCTATGTAGTAATTTTGTACATACACACGCCTCAGCAATGGCGATGGCGATGTGGGTGGGTTTCGTCCTGTGGCCGGCCAGCAGCATATATTTGTCAGAATCTCGAGAACAGGCCCGAATGCGACAGCGCGAATGGAAAGAATCGATATATACGGGCCTCGGCAGATGGCGAGGGGTGATCGTGGTGGTGCAAAAGGGTTAAGACTGCTGGATGGAGGTGAAAGAGGGCGGACAGCTGGTGAGGGGCAGGTGGGATGATGCAAGCATGCAAGCCTAGACTGGTACTCGCCCCGCGATTCTGCGGCTGCAAGTGGGGCGGCAGCGTCGCAAGGTCACTGCCAAGCTAACGCGAAAACCGCCAAACCCACCACGATTCTCCACCAGCTGCCGAACCACTTACCGAGGACAGATGCCAGACCAGAGGCCGAGTCTGCGCGGCCGCAAGGTCAAGGCCATGTGCTGGTCCAATGTAGACTTTAAGTACCAGCCTTGAGCCTCTCACGGCCACCGCCTTATCCTCTACATTCCTGCCCATATACCCCATCCCAAAAAGTCCTTGTTCAGCGGCCACAATGTCTCCAGGCAAGGTTTCCACGCTGGATTTCGAAAAGTTCTACAACATTGTCGACGGCCAGCAGCGCAGCTCCGACCAGATTCACCACGGCATCAATCCCGCCACAGGCCAGGAGCTGTGGGACGTGCCCATTGCCAGCGAGAAGGATCTCAACGACGCTGTTGCCTCGGCCAAGAAGGCCTTTCCAGCATGGAGGGATATGCCCGTTGAGGAGAGGAAAGCCTTGCTGGCCAAGGTCATGGAATCCTTCCAACAGCACAACGACGAGTTTGTCAACCTGCTGTGTAAGGAGTCCGGAAAGCCGGTACGTACTTGAATAGACGAGCATGCTACTGTCTTTGATTAGCACTGTGCTGATAACGAGATAGAGGAAGTGGGCTGCCTTTGAAGTTGGTGGCGTCGCGGCTTTCATGGGCCATCACCTTACGCTCGATGTGCCCACTGAGAAGCTCGAGGATGACGAGAAGACCGTCTACACCGAGTACTCGCCGCTTGGTGTCTGCGCTGCCATCTGTCCTTGGAACTTTCCCTTGATCTTGATGGTCGGAAAGGTTGCGCCCGCGCTCCTGACAGGAAACTGCATGATTGTCAAACCATCGCCCTTTACACCCTACACTGCTCTGAAATATGTTGAGCTTGCCCAAGAGATTCTTCCACCAGGCGTTCTCCAAGTGGTTGGCGGCAACAATGAACTCGGTGTCCAGATGTGTCTGCATCCTGATATCGCCAAGATCAGCTTTACCGGATCTACCGCCACTGGAAAGAAGGTCATGGAGACATGCGCAAAGACTCTCAAGCGTGTCACGCTCGAGCTCGGAGGAAACGATGCATCCATCATCCTGCCCGATGTGGATATCAAGAAGGTCGCACCAGAGGTTGTCATGGGTGCTTTCCAGAACTCTGGCCAAGTTTGCGTTGCCACGAAGCGAATCTACATCCACGAGTCCATCTACAAGGAGTTCCTCCAAGAGATGGTCAACTTTACCAAGCAAATCAAGGTGGGAAGCCCAGATGACGGCGACAACATGCTGGGACCTGTTCAGAACCAAATGCAATACGAGCGCGTCAAGGGCTTCTTCGAGGACAGCAAGTCCAAGGGCTACAATTTCGCCGTTGGCGAGCCCGATGTCGCTGCTAGCAAGGGATTCTTCATCACGCCCACTATCATCGACAACCCGCCAAACGACTCTCGTATTATTCAGGAAGAGCCATTCGGCCCTATCGTTCCTACACAGCCATGGTCAGATCTGGAAGAGGTGATTGCGCGGGCCAACAACACAAACACTGGCCTTGGCGCCTGCGTGTGGGGTAAGGACGTGGAAAAGGCAAGCAAAATTGCACGACGCTTGGAAGCGGGCTCCGTGTTTGTCAATTCGTTCGAGAAGCCCACGCCCCAGGCTCTGTTTGGCGGCCACAAGGAGTCTGGCATTGGTGGCGAGTGGGGAAAGACAGGTCTGCTCGCATACTGCAACCCTCATGTGATTCATGTATACAAGTCGTAGAAGGGCAAACCTTAATCAGTGGTGCGAGGCACGTCTTAGATTGAATGTAAGCATCAGTTGACAAGAGTCAAAAGCTTAACGGCATCCAGCTTGCACGTAATTTCTGTGCCGAGTCCAGGGAAGGTGGATGAAGCATTTCATAACCGGCCCCGAACCCCCAAACGCCATGCAGGTCCCGCGCTTGGATGACACCTTGTCCGTATTGGGTTTAGTGTCTCATTTACATGAGACTCGGCTGCTGCTTCGCAACCGGGAAGGACTAAAGTAAGTAAGCAGACGCACAGGCATCGTGTCCAACCTCAGACTTTGACAATGCAACGACGCGCTCGCACACCACCTGCTTGCAAAATGTCCCCTTGGCGCTATAAAGAGCTCTGATTTTCATCTCTACCATTTTTTTCCTCTCTGCAAAAGAGACCTCCTCACTTCTTGCCCTCATCACTCCCTCATGCCGCAGTCTCCAACGTAGCAGATAGCGCTATCAAGCGCTTGCCGGTCTCGAGCGGGACGCATGGATCGCTGAAATGACTTCCCAGGATGGGTGGCGTTTCTACGGGTTTCATGAAACAACGTAAGGAACCACTGACCAAATTCCACCGACCCACTCCATGCTTGTTCCACCGAACACGGCATGTCACTCCATCTAAGTAATGTGGAAAAGGTATAAGATGCAGAGTCAACCTGCCCTATATTCGCTCAGAACTATTCTCCTGCATTCTCATCCCACACTCTCTATCTTTATTTGGAAGCGTGCTTCCGCGACCTTCTTTTCCTTGAGTTTGTTGAAATAGCATAGGAGCGAGCTCCTATCCTCTCCTTTCTTTTCACTTCCAACACGCCATTGCAACAACTCTCTTCTCCAATCGCAACACAAACTACATACAGCAACAATGCACTTCCGCGATGCATCCATCTACATGGCCGTCGTTGGCTTGACCTCGACGACGGCTCTCGCTGCCGTGGCTCCCTTTGGCCAGTGCGGCGGCGTCAACTACAAGGGCGACAGTGCCTGCGCTTCTGGCTCGCACTGCGTCAAGTACAACGACTGGTACAGTCAGTGTATTCCCGGTGGAGAATCTGCTGCTCCATTGCCCAGCTTGCCCAGCAAAGCCCCTGCTATGGAGCCTAACGGTACCGCACCTGTCGCCACCCCTGCTTCATCGCCTACTGAAGACGAGTCCTGCGATGCTGATGAGGAGGGCGGCGATGCTAACACGGACGCAAAAGAAGGGAACGACGAGTCCTGCGATGCCGACGAGGAGGGTGGCGATGCCGACACTGCGGGAAATGAAGGTGATGATGAGTCTTGTGAAGCTGATGACGAACCTGTTCCATCGCCATCTGCAGCTGCTAACACTGGTGGCAACACTGGTGTCAAGCCCGCTGCTTCTCCTTCTCCTTCTCCCTCTTCAGCTGCTGGCTCTGGTGGCAACTCTGGTGTTAAACCCACTCCTTCCCCGTCTCCGGCTACCGGCTCTGGCGGAAACACTCCTGCTCCCAACGTTGCTGGCAGCGGCCGCAACGGCGCCAAATGCAGTCTTGATGCTGCCTTCAAGGCCAAGGGCAAGAAATATGTTGGTGTTGCCACTGATCAATACACTCTCAGCGCGGGCAAGAACAAGGAGATCATTGTCGACAACTTTGGCTGCGTCACTCCTGAGAACAGCATGAAGTGGGATGCCACTGAGCGTAGCGAGGGACAATTCACTCTCGATGGTGCTAATGCCCTTGTCTCCTTCGCCACCGGAAACGGCAAACTCATCCGCGGTCACACTACCGTCTGGCACTCTCAGTTGGCTTCATGGGTCACTCAGATCCGTGACAAGGCCAAGCTCGAAGAGGTCATGGTTAACCACATCAAGAAACTCGTTGGTACTTATGCTGGCAAGATCTACGCCTGGGATGTTGTAAACGAAATCTTTGACGAGCAAGGTGGCTTCCGATCCAGTGTCTTCTACAACGTCCTCGGTGAAGGCTTTGTCTCTACCGCTTTCCACGCTGCCCACCAAGCCGATCCCCTCGCCAAGCTTTACATTAACGACTACAACCTTGACGGCGCAAACTACGGCAAGACAAAGGGTATGATTACCCACGTAAAGAAATGGATTGCCGACGGTGTTCCTATTGACGGCATCGGCTCCCAGTCCCACCTCAGCTCCCCAGGCACCCTTTTCCCCATCTCTGGTGTCCCTGCTGCTTTGAAGGCTCTTTGCGAAGCCGCTCCCGAGTGCGCGGTAACTGAGTTGGATATCAACCACGGTAAGCCCGCTGATTGGGTCACCGTCTTCGACGCTTGTGCCGATATCAAGAACTGTGTCGGTGTCACTGTTTGGGGTGTTTCTGACACCAACTCTTGGATCGGTGCTGCCGGTGGACCTCTCCTGTTTGACGGGTCCTTCAAGGCCAAACCGTCTTACAACGAGCTTTGCTCCGCTCTCGCTTAAGCCGTGGAGCTTTCTGTCTCTGATGCTTTTCATAGGCTTTCGGCATTTGGTGTAAATAAACTTCTTTTCTCTGTCAACTTTGTATTTATTAACACATTTTTTTTGAATATAAAACCTTGTGCAACCGATCTGAAGCCACTGTCTTTGCTTGAGAATGTCATGTACAACGTGAAACTTGGATACTGAAGAGATCATGTAGATTTGCAAGGACGATTAGGATGGCGCCCATGACTATGAAGATGAAAGCCCCAGAAAGTCAGCCTCGAATGCTTAATAATCTGATAGTATTGGAGGAGTCGAAAACGAAACATTGCCATTATTGCATCATCCTGGATATAATCCCTTCTTGGCTACCTACGTGCTGAAGTTGTACTTTCTAAGTAACTATGTATGTTCCTACCACAATTCCGGGTAGAGTATGCCATTTATCAGATCACCGTTGTAGATCATCTCTCCGGGTAAAACAAAGTTTATCGACAAGTGTCATTTTAAGTCTGCACTGTAACAGTGCTGTTTTCATGATCTTTATCCCACCACCCAACAGGCAGGCTACACAAGACTTTACTTACTGGTTTTGATTCGGGCGAGGCAATCATGTTATTTACGAGTGCTGTTTGGTCGTTAGTAGAGCTGATACAGCCTTGTATCAACCTCATCCAGGTTTCGATAGGTGGTTTGGCTTTGACCGACTTCGTATTTGGATCGAGATTGTCACCCGCTTCCTCCTTACCGTGCGGGGCAATGAACGAAAGGAACTAAACAACTGCTTAACACACAAAGATGCTTTCTCGGAAAATAGGATATGATTGATTGTGATCTTAACCTTCTGCATGATCCATGTAGAGGACCTTATCGCACATGGCAACCCGTCTTCTGGCTTGGCTTTCTTTGTTAATCATTCCTAGTGACGCCAACCATCTATGTATGGAATCCTAGAATCAGTTGAATGACTGTTCATTTGATGTGCGACACTAAACCAGGGTCGCATTCCTCGGATATGCTTTCTTTGTTACCCTAGATCATTTCTGGGCTGCACTTCCCCGTAGGGGTGGATCCTTTCAGGCGCTTACCTGTGAATAAGAGTTTGCCTGTAGCTCATTTGAATTTAGCGAATATGATCCAATTACGTGCTGACAGGTCATGGTTGTACAACTCGGAATATAACGTACCGAAGATGGAGGGGCAACGCCGGAGGGGTAAGGCCGGGGTACCTTTATACCGATACCCATCATCACATTTTCCAAGATGTAGGAATTACAGACCTGAACCTTGATACAGCATACAATTGATTTGATATTGGATCTAACGATATTTTACTACTAGGATGATGACGGACACGAAGAAACAGAAGAAATACGCTTTGATCGGGACAGGCGGCCGCTCCTCATTCTTCTACACTGCAATAGCAACAACGTACAAGACAACCTCTGCCATTGTAGCCTTATGCGACACGAACCAAACAAGGCTCGACTATGCAAACTCCCAGCTTCAGTCCCTCGGACACGTCCAAGTGCCTACATTCATAGCACAAGACTTTGACCGCATGATCCATGAGACGCAGCCCGACGAAGTCATCATCACAACTATTGACCGCACACACAACAAGTACATTGTCCGCGCGCTTGAACTCGGCTGCAACGTTGTAACAGAGAAGCCCATGACCATCGATGCGCCGCGGTGCCGGGAAATCTTCGATGCCGTCGAGCGCACTGGCCGAAAAGTACGAGTAACATTCAATTACCGATACGCACCGCACAACACCAAAATATGGGAGCTACTACGCAACGGTGCCATCGGAACCGTAACCAGCATTCACTTTGAATGGATGCTAAATACCTCTCACGGCGCTGACTACTTCCGGCGCTGGCACCGCGATAAGCGAAACTCGGGAGGGCTGCTGGTGCACAAGTCAACCCACCACTTCGACCTGGTAAATTTCTGGCTGCAGTCGCGCCCTGAAACTGTGTATGCGCAAGGCGACCTGCGCTTCTATGGGCGCGAAAACGCAGAAGCCAGAGGCACGACCGCGTTTTACGCTCGCGCTCACGGAAGCAAGGTAGCCGCCGCTGATCCTTTTGCGCTGCATATGGAGCAAAATGAAAAGCTGCGCCACATGTACCTGGATGCCGAGCACGAAGATGCGTACTACAGAGATCAGTCGGTGTTTGGAGACGGCATCAGCATTGAAGATACAATGTCGTTGTTGGTACGGTACCACAGCGGTGCGGTGCTTACATACTCGCTCACGGCGTATGCGCCGTGGGAAGGATTCCGAGTCTCGTTCAACGGAACAGGTGGGCGTCTGGAAATGGAGGTTGTAGAGAATAGCTATGTAAATAGCGGGGGTGCCCAGTCTCTTGAGGGCAGCCTCGAGACGAGAAGCATCACGCTGAGAAAGCTGTTCGAGAAGCCTGTCGACGTGGAGATTCCAGACAGTGTCGGAGCCCATGGGGGTGGCGATGAAGTGTTGCTGGCTGATTTGTTTGGGGAAGGGGGTGCGGAGATTGATGGGGATATGAGGGCTGCGAGCCATGTGGATGGCGCTTTGAGTATACTCACTGGTATATGTGGGAATAAAAGTATGGCAACGGGACAGGTCGTGAGAGTCAGTGATGTTTTTGACCTATGATTATGGTTAGTTGGGAATACACAAATGCTTTCAGGCATCGCAGCTGGGGTTGGGGTGTAACATCTCACATTGTGACAACCAAAGCTGCAAGTGCAGAAATTGCATGCTCATAGAAGACCAGAGAAAGTACAACTAGAATTTGTGCTTTGTGCATTCGTGTGTTGGCATGTAATGCATTTCTCCCTAATGAATCTCATCCTAGAATATCTTATTGGTGTAACCAGGGCCCAGCACTGACATCCAGCGCAATGAGCACTTTATTTTTAACACGTCCCGAACTGGGTTTTGCGAAATCGTCTATCTGGCCCAGCAATCTTCTTATAAGTCAGGATGTAGAGGATATCGAATGTTTGCACAGCATCGGACGACACTCAATCTATTGAAGATCTGTATTCGATGGATAATTATAGCCTTGGCCCTTCATGCCTACGCAAGCCTTTCTCCCATTCTTTAACCACATTTCTGAGGATTTTCCCTGTTCCACTCTTTGGGATTTTGTCAACAAACGCTATATCTTTCAACCACTTATACCGAGCCTTCTCTTCTTGAACATGTAATTTAAGTATCTCCCCGAGGCTTACATCATCTATCCCCCGGCAATCTCCTGCTTTCACTACATAGGCTTTGGGTGCCTCTCCAGTCCGCAGATCTGGAACAGGTATAACGCACACATCTGCAACTGCAATATGTGCTAAAAGGTGAGACTCTATCTCGGAAGGTGCTACTTGAAAACCCTGGTACGGTTATTATGACATGGATACTTGTAGGCTGGATAGAAATCAAGAGGCAATGATTTGCAACGAACAGAAGGGTACGATAGTGATCTTGCTAGAAGCAGGAACATTTGTACTCACATTAACCTTGATCAACTCCTTCAAACGATCAGTGATCCATAAGTGTTCATTCTTGCCTTGCTCACTAAGCCTGAACATTGCCTCATCCCCAGTTCTCAGCCATCCATCTGCGAGAAATGTTTCCTTACTAGCTTGATTGTTCTGGAAATATCCAAGAGAAGTAATAGAAGGGGAGCGCAGATAGAGTTCTCCAGGTGTATCTAGAGTTGTTATTTCGGTTCCATCAGGAGTAAGTAGTTTCGCTTCGTATCCACTGATTAAAGATCCAGACGAGCCAGGCGAAATGTCGTTCTCAACACTATTGGTTGCAACAACACATGACTCCGTAAGACCTAGCAGTGTCAATAGGTATGTAAATATATGCCACAGTTGAACATACCGTAAGCCTGACGAATCTTCCACTGTGGGAAAGCCTGCTCCAGCGCCAGCGCCATCTCTTTACCTAAGGGCGCTGCAGCTGTGAAGACGGCAGATATCGTACTGACGTCATACTTACTGACCAGTGCAGGAGATTGCAGGAGATTGAGAATGATGGGAGGAACCTGCAAGCATTAGCATGTTCTTCGGAGCCTCCAGTTCCATCGCCTACCAAATAAAGTATGCTAACTCTGAACATTTCAATAGCTTGCAAAAAGCCGTTGATTTCGTATTTTGGCATTATGACACATTGATCACCTCGATAGAGGCTAGTATGCGCGATTGCAACCAACGCATAGATGTGACTCAGCGGTAGAACGCAAATGCCGATATCCAACTCTGTCTTGTGTGCTGAATGTAGCCTTTCCTTTCGTATACTACGCTCCGTGGCGTGCATCTGGATAATATTGGAAATTACATTATAGTGAGAAATGAGAACGCCTTTGGGCGTTCCAGATGTGCCGCTCGAGTAGCAAAGGAACGCTACTTGCGATTTTGCTTGGCCGGGTGACCACGTGATGGGCTGTAGTGGAGGAAGGCTCTGACCTTCGGCAGCCAATCTCGACGCTGTTTTGAAGTAGCATGAACCATTATTTCGTTGGTCAGTTGCTACCTCTAGCAAAAATATGTGCCGACGTGGGATTCCAACAATATCTGCAGCTTTTATTGCAGTAGATAACAGCGAAGCACAAGTGAAAAGCGCTTTTGCACCAGCGGAGCGTAGTTGGGAAGTGAGCTCCTCAGCGGTACTCATGGCATTGACCGGAGTGACAATGCCGTTCAGACGCTGCACCGCCCATGCTACGGGAAGAGTATCAATCTGAGAAATTTTACCACTTTAGTATCAGTTTTCCGGTTCACACCCATGTCGGGGGGCTTCTTACACTATTGAAAGCGAAAATCCCCACTACTTTTTCCCACTGCGTTCCGGAGTTTACCTCCCATTCAAGGCTCTTTAGGAGACCTTTTGCGATTAGTGTCGTCCGTTGGCTAACTTCGTGTACATTATATCCTCTTCCCGAGATCCCACAAACAAACGGTCGATGAGATTGAGATAGCTTATGACGCCCATACTTTTCTTGTAGTAGGAAGTCAAAAATCGAGGTCGAGTCTGGTATCAAAGGCATTTGGGGAACCCATTTTGGAGGATGAAAAACCATTGTGAATAGTCTTTTCGACGATGCAGCTACCCACTGGGACCCCAGCTGGAAAACCTTTTTAATAAAGCTGGACTGTCTTTTACCTTTTGAAAGAGCCGGAGTCCGGGAGAGATACCAATCTACTAGTCTACAGATCAAAAGGTATAACATCGATTCCCGAAAAAAGTCTTGATTGATCAATCTTGTCGAGCAACACTCACCACTCTTGGTAACTCTTGTGCATTCAATACTATGTCACTCATCACAAGGATATTCTTCAACATATTGCCACTGGTTGTGGTTGCTCAAACCCCGCCCGAATTCTCGCCTTCGTGCACAAAATCACTCGATGTGACTTATTCGAACAATCAGCACGTCCGTCCCGGTCAAAATTTACGTCAAAGTGGTCTGACATCCCCATGAACCTTGAAGACGCTGCTAATGGAATGCAAACAACAGATGTTATAAAACAGCCCGTCTTGAGACCCACACATCTTCAACCAGATACCAATTATATCGTTTTCTTGATTGACCCTGACGTTGTCCACAATTACAACGCCACAACCATTCTCCATTGGTACCAACCAAACTGTCACGTATCTCAATCTACTGGAGATTTCGTAATACCCACAAATGATGGTGCCCAATATGTTGGCTCGCAACCCCCCCAGGGAGAAAAGCATCGTTATGTATTTCTGCTTTTCGAACAGCCTCTGAAATACATTTTCCCGCAATGTTTCGAAAGTGTATTTCCCGTCTCTGTAGCTGCGAGGTCTGGGTTTGACATTACATACTTTATGGAAATTGCCGGGCTCGGAAGCCCCGTTGCGGGGAATTGGTTTTCTGTCGATAGGCCTGGCGAGGCTAGCACGACCAGAATCATTACCACAACAAGTCTTAGTCGGGCCCCATGTAAGGCAACACAGGAAGTTGGGCACTTGTGACAATATAAAGATCAATTAAATCTTAACTCCGTATCGCGTGTCCTATAGACGGTCGAATATGATTGTTCCCTGAGCAGATTTACATGGATTGAGTTACGAGCTTTGGTTCAACAAGTACTAAGTAGGAGTCGTCAAATCGAGTTTCACATCCAACCAATAGTTAATACTATTAACCCTACCTCTCACTTATTCTGGATCATCAAAATCCACCCGGTGACTTATTCCTGTGGAGTCCGGAGATATCAACTGCAACATCGATAGATGAATCAATAAATGATATGTTCATTGTTTGGCTATTCATTTCTTCTATTTAGACTAGAAGAAATCACTCGTCTAGATACAAACATCAGATCTTGCACTTTAATTGTGCCTATACCAATTATTTCACAAAAATAGTAGAACAAAGTATCATTCCCCACGAACATGCCGCCATTAAGAGTGCTTTGCCTGCATGGTGCAGGGACAAATACAAAGGTTGTCCAATGAAAAATCCCAGCGAGATTTTACTAACAGAAGTTTAGATCCTTCAGTTCCAACTTCGTAATGCCTCCCTGCCTTCGAGCGATCCTATTCTAACCATTCCACTAAGGTTCTTTGATTCGTGATCTGGAATCAGATCATACTGCAGCTTTCCACTTTACCGAAGGGAATATTGACTCTGGCCCTGGGCCTAACGTCGAGAACTTTTTCGAAGGCCCATACTATTCCTACTACAACTGGCCGCGGTCATCAGAAGATGACGGCATTACTGTAGAAGAAGCATACGATCAAATTTTGGATGTCATTGAGACAGAAGGGCCTTTCGATGCAGTGATCGGTTTTTCGCATGGCGGCACACTCGCATGTGGGTTTCTCGCGCAGTGGTCAACGCGCCACCCATGCGAAGCGCCACCATTCAAATGCGCAATATTCTTCAACAGCTTACCTCCATTTGTGGTCAGTGGGAATGGAGACTTTATTTTTGAGAAACATCTCAAGGGTAGGCTAACCATTCCCACGCTCCATGTAGTTGGGAGAAGAGACTTCATTTACGAGCATTCTCTCAAGCTACATCAGATCTGTGGGGATAAGAATGCAACCTTGATGCTACATGATAGAGGACATGAGATACCCCAAGAGCCAAAATTCGTAGCAAAGATTGCGGCTGCGATCAGAAGATTGAGTCGAGAAATCATGTTCCAATAGCATAAACCAGGATAAAGTGGGGACTCTAGTTCGAGGATTCGGAAATATCATTCGCGCTGTTTCTCGGAGATTGTATACTGTATTTCCACGCCATCTACTGTCTCGTGAAATCACTCGTGTAACCTCACACACTTCTTCATAAAGAGGTTTACTTCACTCGTGAAATAATAGCAGATGAAACCTATTTGAAAGAATCCTGATTTTAGCTATGTATATAATGACCAGCTGCGTGCAATGCCGTTGATATAGATATTTTCATTATGAATTTTGTTCGTGACTCGATCCGAGTGATAATGGGTGCAACAGTATTCCGTTTCAATCCCGTTCGCATGTCAAGCACTGTCCTGGTGTTAGGGCTGTTAATAATCCAACTAACGCCGGCGGTTTAGAATATACCGGTGAGTTATTGCTACAAATTCCTAATTCCCTGCCGATTTAATGCCGCGAACACAAATCTACGTTCCACAGATTTATCAAGCGCTCCTAAGTAGATATTATATATGAAATGAGGAGGGGTATTGAAGCCTTTGGTCGAATGGGGGGTATATAATGCGACATGATCTATAATAGCAGATCTAATGATATAGGAATCTTCAGAGTCGAGCATGTTGTAAAGCAGTAGGCATATGTCAGATGTTAAGCTACTAGTGTGGCACAATTTCCTACCACTTTGTACATATTCAATTGCCTTGGGAGTAGAGTAACGCGGATTTTCTTTATGGTCTCATTACATAATTCGAGAGAAGGAGTCCGGTTTCCGGGCTATTCAGCGAACTAAATGCCCTTCAAATCGATGTTAGACATTTCAGCGATGAAGATTATATGTATCAATGATTCTTGATTTATACATGAGGCTTGCCTTGACTTTTTAGCCTTAAATTTGAAATAACAACTTCTTCGGATACCATCTCTGAGCTGCAATTTTCAAGATGTCCAACGGCTTCCTTTTAGTGAAGGACTCCCGCACTACTCTAGAATATAGAGTCCCGATACAGCGGAATTCCGTCCTTGCAACAGCGTTCAAAGATATCAAAGCTCCCTCATCTAGTGGGAATAGAGCAGACAAAGTAGGCAGCGGTCTGAGAGTGCATGACCCCGGGCTTCTGAACACAACAGTGGTGGAAACAGGTGTGAGTTTTGCGTAAGAAAAATTCCACGCCCCTCTTATCATCCAGGAACTAAGAGCTTATAGAGATGGAGAAAGAGATTTACTTCTTTTCAGGGGTTACAGTCTGGAGCAGCTATGGCAGAGCGACTATGAAGATATGTTGCATTTAATGGTGTGGGCGAAATACCCAACACCCGTGCAGAAGGAATCTTTACGCAGGCTATTGATAGCAGCTATGCTAGAGGTCCCAAAAAATGTTTTCGAAATAGTATCAGCTTTCCCGTAAGTAACAGGAATTTTGTTTCATATGGTCGAGAAACTAATATGATGTTGCAAGATCGTCGTCCCCTCCCATGCCGATGATCGTGGCTGGTTTGGCGGCATATCTGGGAAGTAATCCCGCTATGATTCCAGCGTCCAGCGGCGGAAACATCTACCAAGGCAATATCGAAAAAACCGATAAAGCAATTATTAACACGATTGCTGCATATGCAGTTATCGTAGGGATGGCTGCCTGTCATCGGAAAGGAATTGAATTCACGGCTCCTTCATTGGATTACAGTTTCGTTGAAAATCTATTTCACATGTCCGGCATGGTTGACGATCTAACAGGACGACCAGATGCGATGAAAGTGTCATGCTTTCGGCGGTTCGCAGCATTGAATATGGATCACGGGATGGCACTAGCTGTATTCTCCACAATGGTCACAGCGTCGTCGCTCACAGACCCTGTATCTTGCCTTATTGCTTCATTAGCAGCGGCATATGGTCCTCTACATTTCGGTGCGACTGAGGCTGCGCATCTCAGCCTCCGTAGTATCGGAGACAAATCAAAAGTCCCCGAGTTTATCTCGGAGGTAAAGCAAGGCAAACGAAAACTATTTGGATATGGGCATCGCACTTACAAAGGCACCGATCCACGTGTAAGGCCTATCAAGGAGCTCATTGAAGACTCGGGTGCAAACTCAGATCCTTTAATCGAGATTGCAAGGGAAATTGAAAGACTCGCTTCTAACGATGACTACTTCACATCAAGGGGCCTTCATCCGAATGCTGATTTCTATGGGAATTTTGTTTTTACTGCCGTGTGAGTTTCCAGAAAGTTTATGCGATAGTCCGCTAACGATACTTTCAAGTGGTTTTCATTCCGATTTCATTCCTATAGCTATGATTTCTCAACGGCTCATCGGGATAATGGCGCACTGGCGTGAGGCGATGGGTAAGTCTAGCAATCATTCTAACTGCCAGCTTTTAACAAAGACAGTGCGGGGAATAAAACTTTTTCGTCCGTCCCATATTTACACGGGGGACACTGAGCCAGTTTATACTGCCAGTGCAAAGTTATGACATGTTAATTAACTGTTCGAGGACGATCTTATTGTCACGGGCAAGGCATGGTGTAAAGGGTGATCTCGGTGGAATCGATGTGATGAGCTAATCAACCCGGGATCAAAAACATCCCCGGATACATCTAACGAATCTACGTCACGTACTATTGCTGATGATAGTACTAGATAGTGGCAATACAAAAATGCCGGAGAATCATCCAATCTGCATTTGAAGACACTTATACAAATATGCTTTCCGGTCATGCTCCTGCGCACATCTTCCTCGTGTATAGCAACTCTCTAAAAGTGATCTCACGATGTCTTCGACACCTTATGATCAGGTCATCATTGATATCAAGAACTACGTATTTCATTATCACATTGATGATGAGAACGCCTTCGTGTGTGCGCGGATGGCGCTCCTCGATGCCATGGGTTGCGCTATCGAAACGATCTCTTCGAGTGAAGAATGTGGCAAATTGCTGGGGCCATTTGACTCAACTACAGTCAATCAAAATGGCTTCAGGTTGCCTGGTACTTCATATTTACTCGACCCATTGAAAGGCGCTTTCGACATGGCAACGATTATTCGATATCTGGATCATAATGATGCGATCGCGGGGGCGGATTGGGGCCACCCTTCTGGTGAGGACGATACTTTTAGGCTCTTTCTCGCATACTTACAATCACCCAGATAACTTGGGTGCTATCCTAGCCGTGGCAGATTGGCAGAGCCATCGCATTGCAAAGGGTGATATCGTCCATACTGGTCCTACACTAGACATGCGCACACTTCTTACAGCCATGATCAAGGCTTATGAAATCCAAGGGTGCTTTCTTTTACAGAATGCTTTCAACAAGCATGGCTTAGACCACGTCATTCTGGTCAAGTTAGCATCTACTGCTGTAGTTGCATGGCTTCTAGGCCTCACTGAAGAAGAAACAATGGCTGCAATATCTCACGTATGGATGGATGGCCACCCTCTCCGCACTTACCGCCATGGAACAAACACTATACCTCGTAAGGGCTGGGCCGCTGGCGATGCTTGTATGAGGGCGGTACAACTTGTTCTTTTTGCGCAAGCAGGCCAGCCCGGATCTAAGACGGTACTCACTGAACCGAGATGGGGATTCTACGATACTCTGTTCAGGGGCCAGCCGTTTCAATTTCCAATACCATACAATAGCTGGGTCATCAGAAATATAATCTTCAAAGTCATGCCGGTCGAGGGTCATGGTATCGCAGCTGTACAAGCAGCTCTGCAACATAGTAACCTCATGCGAACCCAAGGTCATTCCCCGGATAAGCACATCAAGAGAGTCGATATACGAACGACAGCCGCAGCTATCCTTATCATTGACAAACAAGGACATCTGCATAATGCTGCTGATAGGGACCATTGTATGCAATACATGGTTGCTTTGGCTTTACTCAAGGGTGCAGCTCCAGAGAGTAACGATTACAAGAGCAACAGCCCTTGGGCGTATGACGAGCGGCTTTCGGGGCTCCGGTCTAAGATTTATTTGAAAGAGGACAAAAATCTTACCAAAGACTATTTGAATCTGAATAAGAAAAGTCTTGCATCTGGAGTAATAATCACGTTTACCGACGATACCGTTTCTGAAGAAATCTTTGTCGAGTTTCCTGTCGGCCATGTCCGAAGTGCCGACACAACGAAGATGGTTCAAGAGAAATTCATGAAGAATATGAAGCTACAATTCTCCAGAGAGGATATCGAGCGAGTAATCAAGGCTGCGGAAATACCCGACATGATGATTTCAGACTTCTTGAGTCTTTTCGCTAAAGGCCGACACAATGAGCAGAAGTTATAATGCTTGACGAAAAATGGGGGATGAAAGACTGAAACAGGTGAAGCTTCAACATACCTTTGAAATAGCAAAATTCATGTCAATGCGCCGGAAACTGAGTTGTAGACCCTTTCTAGATTGCTTCTCTTGAAGTTTCCTCTTGTTTGACTTGCACGGTGTCTTCTTCCTGACAACAGTAGACAGCCCTTCTCCATTGATTCAGTTACTGGGAGACTTAGTCATTATTCTCTAATACCGTGTACCAATAAACAATTTCCGGATTGATTTTTGGATTCCCTGTCTATAAAGGTCCGGAGCTAGGAAAAAAGCTGGCTTTATTCATCCATGAAATTCTATAATTAGGTTTCAAAATCTACAAGATTCAAACAATAGCTTCGTGCATTCCAATACTTGCTTGTAGCAGTCATTACATATTCGAAATCTTTGAGGCGCTAAAAGAGAGCTATTGTTAAAAGTATCGCCATGACAGCTAATTCCAACATTGAAGGGCAAGCGACGGAGACTACTGCTCTCCTCAACCGAAAGTCTACACAGGCGCGCTACTCCGTGTTTACCACCACTCAAAAAAGAATTTTGATCTCCACAGCCTCTTTGGCCTCAACACTCTCTCCTTTATCAGCAAATATCTATTACCCAGTGCTGAATTCGATGGCCAAAGATCTCCACGTCAGCCACACAATGATGAACTTTACTATTATGGGTTATATGGTACGTTGTGTGCAGGACAATGATATAAAATTGAGAACTAACTTTGTATGTTTAAGTTATTACAAGCTTTTGCGCCGACTATTGCTGGCTCCATCGCTGATGTCATTGGCCGTCGGCCTGTATACATATTTTGCTTCCTCATCTATATCGCTTCAGATGTAGCTCTCGCTCTACAGAGAACTTTTCCTGCTCTTGTTATTCTTCGAGCTGTTCAAAGTTCCGGCAGTAGCCCAATGGTAGCTCTTGCCAGTGCTGTTGCGGCAGATATAGTAACTTCTGCTGAAAGAGGCATGTATCTTGGGATCGCGTCACTTGGCTCTGCACTCGCTCCCTCCCTAGGACCAATTATTGGCGGCATACTTAGCCATTGGTTTGGTTGGCCATCTATATTCTGGTTTCTAGCAATCGTGGCTACGTTATTCTTTGTGCCATTCTTGCTATTCTTTCCGGAAACTTGCAGAACGATTGTCAAAGATGGATCCGTACAGCCACTGGGGTTCAATCAGACAATATATCAATGGATGAAGCGGAGCCCACAACAGCTTAATAGAGAAGACCAACCACAAAGAGATTTGACGTACTTAGGAAAAGCGGGTATCAGCCTGCCCGATCCTCTTGTCACCCTGCGAGTTGTGTTTCAGTTCCCCACAGGAATCATCATGCTGGGTAATGGCATTCTTTTCGCGAGCTACTACGCTGTCATGTCTAGTGTTCCATCACAGTTCGAAATCTTATATGGATTCAACGACCTCCAAATCGGTTTAGCCTTTATACCCGCAGGACTAGGAACCCTATTCAGTGCTTTCACGAACGGTATACTTGTCGACTGGAACTACCGACGTGTAGAAGCAGCCCTGGAAGAGAGAGGTGATAACGAGCGAAACACCAAAGATAAATTTCCTTTCGAAAAGACGCGTCTGCACATAGCTTTGCCCATGATGGTAAGAACCCTCCTCTAGCTGCGTAGTGTTCTATAATTAACGGGCAAAAGATCTTAGCAGCTATATCTATCAGTGTCTACGGTTGGGTCATTCTTTTCCGCACCCCAATTTGGGCTCCTTTGGCTTTGCTGTTTTTGATCGCCTTTTCGGTTACTGGGGCCTACAATGTAATGAACATATTGGTTGTCGATCTCAATTATTCAAAGCCTGCAACGGCTATGGCTGCTAATAACTTAGTAAGGTGTACACTCGGTGCGGCTGCCACAGTTCTCATTCACCCCTTGCTCGACTGGCTCGGCAGAGGATGGAGCTTTACGTGTGTTGCTGGCGCTATCATAGTAGCCACCCCACTACTCCTAGTGTCTTACAGGTGGGGACTTGCATGGAGAACATTCTCAAATAGATAAAGCGTCTAGTATGTGCTACCCCATCTTGGTATGAGCTTAGCAATGCATTCCCATTAGGATTGCACATATTCGTTCACCTCTCGAAGCAGAGCACTCAATCAACTGTCACATAAACTCTGCACATAACTCCGAATAGTTGAAAGTATCTTCGCTTAATCTTCCTGAATACTATAACTCATATAAATGGTAACGGGGTCTCGATGTGTACGATTTTGCCGGTACTTTAATCTCTCCGGACCTTTTAGATACTGCGTGACTTTTCCCAATGCTTACATAAGCTCTCCACTGCATGAGTGAGAATAGGTTAACTGTGCTGGGTTTGATTACCATTTTGACTTTTTCTAGTTGACAAAGGAATCTTTCTCGGAGCTAATCGCTAGTCTAGCTATAGACCTATGCATGTGGAAGACCACCGAGCGTGCATGCAGCATGGTCCAACATATCTGCAATCCCATTCATAGTGCATTGCAACGTTTCGCCACTATCTACATATTGACATTTGAACCGCTTGTCCTCTTTATCGTTCTCTCTGACATGCATCCTTCTGCCTCATGGTCACTTTGTGTCCTGCTTGCTGCCACCTTACAAGTGACCGCAGCATCACCGCCAATCGCACCACAAGACGGATTCTTTTTTGGCAATCCCTCCTTGGACTGCGAATTTGTTTCCCAGCCTCGAATCTACTCTATATTTTCCTCCCTCGAGACCGATGTTACCAACTTAATCAATCACATTTCGCCAGATGTTGATTTCACCGTAGTTGGTCATCAGCCTTTAGCGGGACACTATCATGACTTGAAACATTTCTATGTCAATGCGCTGTACCGACTCAACAACTGCATAAGACTAAAGTATCCCAACGAGTACCGTATCGAGCTTCAGTACATAACAGGTGGTTGCGATCAAAATTGGAGTGTTCAGGAGGTTTTGTTTAGTGGACGGGCAAATAATGGTATGTAATTCTGACGGAGTGTCAAAGTCTCAAGCTTACTTCAAATAGGTGAGAATTGGTCAATGGTGAATGTTTGGATCACTCAGTGGGAACATAATAAAATGGTCAAGATTCGAACTTACGTCGACGCAGCGCGGGTAACAGAATTGCTTCACGATAATGAAGTGTGGTCCAACTCAACGACACATTCAGACCATATGGCATTTCTTCCAGGTCCACGAGGAATGCCTCAGACATCGGCACTAGAGTCTCTTATAGAGAAAATGGGATACTAGTTATATGCAAGTACAAGACGCACACCACAACACCAATACAAAGCATTTCAAACGTCCGGTAAAGCATGTAGAGAAACTTGAGGGCAGTGACTAGCGCTATCAGAACACACCGCAGTCAAATTTGAGACGTTATTTGTACTTGCATTCCTCATGACAAAACTTTCGGTACCCCCATTGACTGCATTTTCATTTGCACTACTCGTTTTCTAGTTATCGCTACGCCTACTAAATCAAGTGACTATAATCGAAATGCGCAAAATCTGATCGCATGTGCAGAGCTTGTACGATTGACTGATGACTCTATGCATATCCGAAATTCTAAATTACATCTATACGTTCCATAATTCCACTCTTCCAACCAACCTTCTCAACTTTAGACTGGTCTCAGCTAACATCACTCGAACTACCTGAGATCTAGAGTTCACAATCGTTCCGAGCGTCATCTTTTGCAGATCCTCCAGTACACTTGCCCAATTTTCCAGTCGCTTCTGAAGCAGCTTTTTGATGAAAATGTTTTTCTCCAGTGAAATTTCATAACCACCAACGAGCAAAGAACAGTCTTCCGCCGACTCTAGGATATCTTTTTTCCCGACATTGGAAAGTTCATCAAATGGGAATAGTATAGAAGCTCTCTTATCAGAGAACTTGTTTGTCAATTGATGCAGCGGAGAGAGCCGCCGTGCGGGAATACTAGGTGATTTATTCTTAAGTTTTGATTCCAGTACCCCGATGCCGCGGTCGACAAGCAACACTTGAAGAAGATGTTGACTTGGCTGTGTTCCGGTACAAGAAGAGCAATCCAACATCTTCTTACTATGGGCAAAAATGTCCTTGTTCATTTGGAGGGCTGTGTCAAGTTTCATTGCGTTCGTGTGATGAATAGCATCATCTAGTTGGAGGAGCAAACGTAGTATCAGTTTGTAACATTCACAGCCTGAAAAATCTGGTCTGATCGGCTCAAGAGCTTGAAAGCCTATTTGGTTTACTGGTGATAGCGGGAGTTGGCGGAATAACTCTGGAGTCGCGGGGTCTAGGATAGGAGCTCGATGGTCTCTGAAGAGCGTTATATCTGTTGTTGGGCGAACAGAAAATGCTTCTGTATTCGAGGGATGATTAAGATCCGGTGAATCATTCAAGATGCTGAAAGCATCCTGCGGTTTGTTGTTCGTCCACATGGATGATCGATCGCCAAGATCACTGCAAGCTTCGGCTAAAGGCTGTTGATCTTGTAGGTCGTGTAGATCGATTTCTTGTGCTGCAAGCCCACTACCATATATGTCGTTGAGCGGGCTATCCAAGCTGTCGAGTGTCCCGTATGAGCTCGATAACCCAACATTTGATAATTGATCCATGGCAAACATGCTGTCGTACATAGCAGTAGTCGATATGTTGAATGAATACTCAGATGTTGAGACCGGGTCGCTATCCACTGTGGGTATTGTGGTTTCAGATGAGTAGGCCGTTGGAGATGGAGTCGTAGATGTTGATCCGTTCCGTCCTTTGGAGCTTGATATCTGCTGCACATCATCTGCTGAATGTGCATTATCTTGATCGGCCGGCTGTGTCGGAGCATTTTGATTCTCTGTTTGTGGCCTGTCATCATCCCCAATAGAGGCTTCTCTTTGCTCTACCCTTGCCTTCCTTGCTGTTCCTGATTTCCGAGGTCGGCCCATGCGCTTTGAAACGCCATACACGCATTCAATCTTGTATACTTGGCAACGAACACATTGAGGAATATTACGGCTGCATCGAATTCTGGCAGCAATGCAAGCATCGCACGTTGCGCGGAGTTTCGAGCGCTTCTTAGCCTCTATAGGCGTATCGTTCGCAGAGTTGGGGGGCTGAAAGTCCATTGATGCACGAAGTGTTTTGCACTCGAAAAAGATAGTTCTTGCAAGTAGCTGCTATGATAGATACACTCTAAGTTCTGTGGACAGATATGATCTTCCATTGCGATAGACAGTGACAAACCTTAAGTTCTTTAGTAATTGCTTATGTGCCTAAAGGTCCGATTGCGTGCTGAGAGTTGTTTCCCGTTGAGGGCAAAAGATAAGGTATGTAACTCAATCGCTAGGATCTATGCCGTCGCGTCGGACCGAACCCAATAGTTTATATGATGAACTAGGTCTTGGTTCGATTCTCGGCATAGCCCGATGGTCCGCGAACGGATGGTTTAGACTTTAGCTTGATACCACCAGGGCGGTATCTATATGCTCAAAAGATTATTTTATATTGATTTTATATTCTTGATTCTATAAATAAGGATATCTTGTTACTATAGTCTCACTTTCACTATTTCTTAAATAATATCTTACTATTTAAACTCTTTTTAGTTTTTCTTTATATGTTCCTTTTAATATATTACTATTTAGATTTCAATAATTATTTCATTTTGCTAACGATATATTTAATCTATTAGGTATTTGTTATAGATTATAATAATGCTAAAACTATCTATCTATAGTATGTATATTAACTAACTAACTAGAGTATATATTAAGTTAATATTATATCTCTTACTAAAGGGTCTAAACTACATATGTTAATAGTTTTATAAGTTAAGCTACTCTATTAAACCTCTACTCTCTACGATCTATATTCTAAATAACTTCTACCAACTCTAAAGCGTACTTAGTTTATTATATAATACTATAAAATCCTTACTATTACTAAAATAAAATAATAGAGAAGTAAAGTAGTATATTTAGTGTATTATACAGTTGTTATACTATAACTAAATTTATAGCTATCTTCTTATATATACTCTCTACTAGTACCTCTCTCTATTAAAATTTTAATACTATCTTAATAATAGTAGATACATCTTATAGTAGCTAGCTATAGATACTTTTAAGATATTAAATAAAAATAATCTTTTATAAAGTATACTATTTACTTAAAATTAAGTATAAAGAGCTACTATAAGCTATAACTATGATACGACTTAGTAGTATATATTTATCTACTTTTAGTAAGTCTATACTTTATTAAAGTATCTACTATATTATATAATATAGTTACATACCACTATAAAAGATAGTTTAAACTAACTTTATAGAATCTTTATAAATAGTTGTAGTTTACTATATAATATAGAAGTTTTCTTTAGAATTACTATATAGTTTAATTCTTAGATAAATACTCTATATAGAAAAGTAGTTACTAACAATAAAATTAATATTTTTAAAGTTTAAAAGAAAAATAAAAGACTAACATAATTATAAATATAACTAGTTATAAGTAAAATAGTATTATATAAACTGTATAGTGAGCTATATAGTAAGATGTATATTGATTACATTAATATAGTATAGTAGAAATAATATAAAACGATACTAATACTAAATAGAGTAGCTATATTCGAATACTTAATTAGTTAGTATATTTATTAGATCTTAACTTTGTAAAGTATCTTAAGTAGTGGATAAAATAATATATAAACAAGTTCTATATCTAGTATAATAACTATAGTAAAAGTTAAGTATAGATAAATAGCTTTGACTATAACTGTTTTAGAAACTAAATAGTAATAGATACTAAGAAAGAGTATAGAATAGCTTATCGACTTAAAACTTAACTATCTAATAGCCTATAGAGCTATATATAGATAATAAATAAAGTACTAGTATTTATAAAAATAGTGAATGTTTTAGAATTAAATTATATATAGTTTTAAGTAAGATATTACTAATAATATTATAGGCGTTAAGTTTTAGTAATAGTAGGGCTTTAGCTAACTTACGAAACTTTGAACCTAGTAATATATTATAAATCTAGTAGCTATAGTAAATATATAAAAGGTTTAAGAATATGATAGTAAGTAGAGGGGGAAGTGGAATAGATTTGCTGGACAGGCCCTAAGTCCGTACCTCTAGTATGAAACTTACTAGTCTAGCATATAAGAAAGCTTACGCAAGCTTATACGGGGTTCCTTGCAACAAGGAGCGATCTACCACCAGTTCTGTATAATTATCCACCATCGTAGTCTCAATCAGTGACACTAAAAGCGGGATTATGCGTGGGTTACTCCCGAGCTATGGCTGGATCACTGCGCATTTGCTGATAACGCTAAAAGCGGAACTGCGCGGAACAGCGGGCAACCGGGCGTACGTAGTCCGCTTCCGCGCCATGGCTAGATGCATCACTCCGTACTTGTGGTGCTTAATCCATCACCTTCCAATGAGCTGTTGTTTCCAGACAAGCTAACGGAAGCATCATCTTGGTTAGTGGCGAATCTAGCATAATGTTCGCTAATCATCTTTCTTACTGCATTTGCTATCACAGCTATAGTACGATAGCTCTTAACTGGGTAAGGCGTGAGCTTGTGTAATTAATTGCGCTGCAATCGACCCACCTTCAGCATATTGGAAGGTGACAGTTAATCAAGCATTACGAGTAGTATCGATGAGCGCTGCTCAAGGCGGTAGTGAGTGCAAATGTACAGTGACACCCCCTCATTCATAACATGTTTACGGTTGGTTACATGGGGCCTAATTGCCAGAGCTAAACCCCACTTTAGATATGATCGTCGTTGCTGTATTACTGTGCTAAAATATTATGTGTTCGTAAAGAATTTGAAACACAACAAATCCACCTATTCCTCTACGGTTGCTCTGTAAAACTTTCTTCAGACAGCCTGCAGCGGGGTCGGGTTTTGGAAGATATTGATCAGAATGGTAAGGCGAGCAAGCGCAGATTCGATATTGTTTACACAGCTCAATACCGCCTCTTCCACGGTTTCGTTCATTGTATAGGCCTTGCTGATCGTCGACGAGGCTTACGGATCCAAAAAGAAGAAGACAGAGTTCCCTCTAGCTTTGAAATTCTGTAAGTAATTGTAAAGGAAGATCTTCGTCGACTAACACCAATGCGTACAGAGGTCCGAACACGATCATTCGAACAGCAGATGGCTTGAGCGGATATATAGGCCTCCCGAGAGACCGTGTTGAGGGCTCTTGCTAACAGGATTCATGGTTCTATACACCTATTTGCTCTTTAATTGACTATTCATAGTCATCAGATTGTCCCAAGGCATATCTACTGCCAATACCATCGATATCCTCCCGTGATAGCCTTCTGTAATGGTATATTTTACGCCACTGAAGCTTAGTGTTAGATAGCCTTATTTGTATAAAAGCAATGCTAAAATACAGAATAGTATGTAATTTTGGTACGTTCGGCATGTTATCGTCGATAGTGAGGGGTTGTGGCGTGATATCTTTGATGGAGATAGCGGATTGAGAAACTTATGTAAAAATAGAGAAGCGTATGCAGAAACGTAAAACCACCAATTTCGCTTAGTGCAATATCATTAGTTATACATCTTATCATTTCGATGAGAGTTTCTAGGTCAAGGCTGCAGATTCTTCGGACATAAAATCTTCATGAACTCAGCTTCATAGACATCGTAGTAGAAATATCAGGCGACCAGGAACAATATCGAAGAGCTATGTAAGGGTCTGATGCTTAAGGTGATTAAAAGCTCGGCAAAGCTTCCTATGACTGAATCTCGGCCAAAAAGACCAGGGATAGGAATTAAGCCGGCTGGCTGGAGACAGCACTTGGGATCAACATGTCTTAGCTCGGCCGTACAGTTCCCGGCTACATTTAGTTTCCGGTAGCACATAGTTTTGGTTCAAGTATCCCGAGAAACGTCGGCAGGGTCATTCTTCATTCAATTCAGTAATAAAGGAATCATCAACTAGGTATGGTTTCAAGTAATATTTCTATTTCTATTTAAGCCTAGTAAGTTGCTTACGCGAATCAGCAAGCTATTGAACAACTTAAAACGTCAATATGAATCAACCCTGTAGTTGCTCTTTTTCTGCTTTTGAAGCAGTCCCTGAGTTGCAAAAACAAACGCAAATCGACTTTGAAAGCATATTGCGTGTCAGTACACGTGTCTCTGATCAGTGGGCTGAAATCATTGGCTGCGAACGCTGTCGCACCGATTTCACCACCCTGGTGATAATAACAACAGCTGCGGAGCGACTGCTTACCTTGTACACGGCCGTATGCAAGGCTTACGGGCTTTCAGAAAAGCAGTTCGATCCTCCCGGCAACAGACTTGATGCACACCCGCATGAGAGCACTTCATCAGCAGAAGGGGCCACTGCCACGACACAGACGGGTACAACGTACCCTGTGTGCGCGCATAGTATGATGAAATTCGGGAAACTTTCTTTAGAAGGGGACGATGCAAGGTTGTTAGCGCATGTTCTTTTGAGCCGCAGCTTGGTCAGACTTGGAGAACTACTTGAGAGCTACACTTGTTTGGCATTTGGTGATAACACCATAACAAGTAAGGACGATGTTGTGGTCGCATGCGAATCATCGCTAGTAGAGACGATGGAAAAGTTAACTCTCCTAGTGGCGCAGGTGAAAATTTAGATGTTTGTTATGAGCAATACCAATGAAGTGCTTCTTCATAAGTGACAATAAGTTGAAGGTTTATTCCTTGTCGGGCCCAATAGCAGAAATGTGACAATAATGAGGCCAAACCATATCGGGCGGATGCGGATGTGTGAGGGGCAAAATAGACCGAGTAGGGAAGCATATGTCCTAAGTTCGCCAAATTTAATGCGGGCCAATTTTTATCGTCTTAGCCTATAGAAGCCTGGAACTGCCGGTGTGAGGTTAGTCTAGCCCCTGATTCAAACTATGGTTACGTTGTAAAATTAAACCAGCTTCACAATTGCTCAAAGTAGAGTCCAGGCAAAGCAGAGCTTGTAAAATTCAACAGCAAGAGCATTGACCCTGATATACATTGTACTCCATATGAGCTGCTGTGGCAACGACCTTGCAATGATTTTTTGCCAGGCAGATGGGATGTGACACGTGATTCAGGTTTAGGGCTACAGCCATCGCTGAAACCATCGAATAGCTTGAGCCTGAGCCTCTTTTGCGCATATAGCGGCATCTTCGTCTCCTTCCTTCGCGCGTATCGCAAAACCATGTTGACATCCAGGATAAACCACGATTTCATAGTTAAACCCGTTCCCACCATTCCCAGGTCCAAAAGAAGATTCCAGAGTAGAGCTCAGATTCTTAATCTTGTCAGGCGTAAGAATGGGATCTTCCGCAGCAGCAGCCAACGAATATGGAACCTTGAACTTTCCGATGGCTTGAACGACCATTTTTGGTGCATCTAGTCGACTCGGGTGAGCTGCGAAATGTGCATCAATAAGCCTATCCTGCGACCAACTAGCCAATGGTTCTGCGCATAGCAATGTTGATGGAAGGCCTCCCCAGCAGAATCCGCATACACCCAATTTCGCACCACCTGGCAACTCGGCTTTGACTTTGCGAGCGAATTCCAATAGCTTTGGATAGGTTTTGTATGCGCTAGAACGCATCATGAATGGGAGAATGATCGCTAGCAACTTAACGAGCGCGGATCCTTTCCTGAGATATGCCCGAATATTGAACCCTTTTACAGGCTCTGAAACCGCGTCCATAAGCTGCATCGCAATTGGATTCAAAGGGCCCCCATTTATGATGTCTGGTATAATGACCCGAAAGCCACTTTCTTTAGCGTAGGCATCTGCTAGGAGCTGATTATTGATAAATTGCCAGCCAAAAGCGTCCGGAAGATATATTATCGTGGACTCTGGTTTGTTGGCTATCGGTACCAGAGGCAAAGCAACGTAGCATGTAAGGCCGTGGACATCCAGCACCTTACCCTTGCTAGTCGACTGACCCAGATTTGTATGCAAACTTCCCCGAAAACAATCAGGGCATGACATGATGCGATGGGGTATGGGTTATGATTTGTAAGGATCCCTGCTTTTGAGGCTGAACTGTAGTCCAAATGTCTGGATCGTTGAGATGGGGGACTTTCGGGTGGTTAGATCTTATGAGAATGGCTGGCTAAGTTGGACTACTTTTAGTACAGGCAGATAAGTGTCTCGGGATATCAAGATAGGTCCATATTTCTTAACAGTTTAGACGGTAAAATATTCCGGTGCTACAAAAGCACCGGTAAGACTTTAAAGTTAGCCGGTCAGTTCTACGCATGCTAGACCCTGATACTTCCCCACCCACGAGTTCCACCAACCATTTAATCACGTACTAAAAGATCTCTTTTTATATTCAAAGTCAAAGCACTACCAAAATGACCTTCTTATAACAAGAACCATACATGATTTTATGAGACAATAGGACGAAAGCTACGTAATAAGCCTTTAGGTAGGTATGCTTTATCCTAAACTTAGCGTAGCTATATAAACTGGAGGATACTATCTTCTCTTCTTATTGCCTAGATCAGTACAGTTATGTCACCTGGAATCCGAAGAACTAAAATAGTAATGAAGAGATCAATTAACTTGAACGACTGTGATATATAAGGGTTATGTCAAATGCAATCTTTAAATGGCTTCTAGACTAAGATTGCACCACAAAAACACTCCCGTAATCTCTTCAAGCTTCTTGCATGATGTTGTCTTTCTCTGTTGTTCTATAGCGTTGATCAGAAGGTTTTACAAGAGCTTAGTAGTGTCCACCCTTTGCTAAGAATTCACCAAGAGCAGCCATATTTGGCATGCCTCTTGGACCAGGCAGGAAGCTTGTATGTTCAGTTTCGGTAGAGGAGTTCGTCCAAACTTCGTTTTCCTTGAGCATGATCATGCTCTCAACAGCATCAATGTACGTGCGGACCTTCACAATTCGGCCATTGTGCCACTTCGTGACCCACACGTTAATGATATCGAAATCCCGGCCTTTCAAATTTGGACATTAGCTGCCATATAACTAATGAGATCGGAACGGCAAGGGAGTAACTTACCATTGTTTGCTCGTCCTTGACCTCGTATCTCTTGTACGCTCCACTCCTCGTTGCAACCTCCGTGGATAGTCAACAAAGTAAGCTTGAAAAGCTCAGGATAAACTTCCGTGATGCAGCTACCAAGCCTATAAAAGGCATTGACGTAGAAATGCTTGAAATCGTGATAATGACCAGAAAGTGCATGATGACCGACGACCGTGAAATCAACATCTGGTGCTAGCATTGTCGACAGATAGGTATAGTCGTCAGTGAAGCGAGTGTACTGTTGATAAATGTAAGGCTGCGAGGAATGCTTGCAATCCGTGCTCGGATTGCCGAAGTAAAAGCCATCGTCAACTAAGAGTTGGAAAGGTTGATTCTTAGTGGTAGCCACTTCAGTTTTAAGAGGCCTCTGGTCGTTACTGGACCTATCCGTTACCAAAGCTGCAGCTTGGAAAGCAGAGAGAGTAGATAGAACTGCGAGTTTGAAATGCATGTTGAGAAGTTTTTAACCGAATGTCGATGTGGAATGCAAGATCGTGTTGGTGGCAACGCGCTGATAATTATATGTATCGTAATTTGGATAGATAAGTAGAATCGGAATTCGTTCTTACTAGAAGTATATCAGAAATTAAAGCCTCTCACCGGGGAGTTTTCCTGATGTCCGGAGCTATGCTTGAAGTTCTTCTTGCCTATCGGCATGTCAACAACTTCCCTGTGATTGAGAGATCTTCTGAATATATTGAATTAAGTGCGGCTCACGGAAAATGTCCCGGGAGTATTTACCTGTGGAGACACTACTAAAGCGCACACGTAGGCATGAATTTGGTTATTCCAAAGTAATTTCAGCCAAAGTTTCAGGCTCATGTATGCTTTGCTACTAGGATAGAACATCTTTCGTAGTTCGGACCCAAACTTTTCCTCTTCCATTGCTATAATGGCACCCTTTCTAAATGGAAACCTGGGCACTAGCAACGGCATAGATCAAAATGGCAAAGCAGACGGATCTATGCCTATTGCGATCGTGGGTATGTCATTTCGAGGCCCTGGATCGGCAAACAACATAGAGAACCTCTTCAAAATGATCTGCGCGAAAAAGGAATCACGAACAGCGATTCCGAAATCAAGATGGAACAACAAAGCATTCTATCACCCTAACTTCCAACGTCATGGGTCCCACAATGTTGAATATGGGCATTTCTTTCAAGATGATATCTCCAAGTTTGACGCGCCGTTCTTCAACATGACAAGGGAAGAGGCCGCCGCACTCGATCCAGCACAACGACTGCTTCTAGAAAGCACGTACGAAGCACTGGAGAACGGTAAGAAGAAATCTACCATAATTACAAGGCAAAATTAACTTATTTCATAGGTGGCATACCTTTGGAGAAGATTGTGGGAACGAAAACGTCCGTCTTCGTCGGCTCCTTCGCTACAGATTACACGGACCTTTTGACTCGAGATCCAGAATCTGTTCCAATGTACCAGTGCACTAATAGTGGTCAATCTCGTGCAATGGTTTCCAATAGGTTGTCGTACTTCTTTGACCTTCACGGCCCAAGTGTCACAGTTGATACCGCATGTTCTGGAAGTTTGGTAGCGTTGCATTTGGCTTGCCAGAGTCTCCGGACAGGAGAGGCCAATTCAGCAATTGCTGCTGGTGTAAATGTGGTCTTGAACCACGAATTTATGACCACCATGAGCATGATGAAGTAAGTCCAGTTGGAAGAGTAATTCTAACGTAGATAAATATACTTACAAGGGCAGATTTCTATCGCCCGATGGCCGCTGCTATGCCTTCGATGAGCGTGGAAACGGCTACGGACGCGGTGAAGGTGTAGGAACTGTCTTCCTTAAACCACTTGCTGACGCTTTGAAGGATGGTGATCCGATCCGAGCTGTCATTCGAGGATCAGCTTCAAATCAGGATGGTAAAACATCTGGTATCACACTACCCAATCCAGTAGCCCAAGAAGCTCTGATCAGAGATGTGTATCATATGGCCGACCTGGATCCACTTGACACTAGCATAGTGGAAGCGCACGGTACTGGTACCGCTGCTGGAGACCCTCTAGAGTTGCGGGCCTTGACTAATTCATTCTGCGGCGCCAATCGTCCTGAAGATCGACCTCTTGTAATAGGATCTATCAAGTCCAACCTTGGCCACCTAGAAGGAGCTAGTGGTATTGCCGCGGTGGTCAAGGCTGTCTTAATGCTGGAACAAGAAGTCATTTTACCAAATCAAAACTTCGAAAAACCAAACCCCAGGATTCCCTTTGTGGATTGGAAACTGCGTGTCGCTACAGAAGTGCAATCGTGGGATTCGCCAGGACCACTACGTGTATCAATCAATAGTTTCGGATACGGTGGTTCCAATGCCCATATTATTCTGGAGTCGACACGAACGTACCTGACTTCACGCGGTCTTTCCAACGCCTACAAACGATCAACAAATTTTCTGCGTTATCAGTATGAAGCAGCAGATACTGCTTCCAGGCCAATTGATGCGTTCGCTCATGAGAATAGAGCTTCGCTCATTGATCATCAATTTCCAAATTACAGTCATCCGAAGCTTTTTACGCTGAGTGTCTTTGATGAGCCTACGGCTCAACAACAAATTCAAACTTTAGTCAAACATCTTCACGAGCGCAGTATATCCAGGCACCCTGAATTCCTTGACGACCTCGCCTTCACTTTGAATGAAAGAAGAACAAACTTTATTTGGAGAGCTGCGGTGGTTGCAGCATCTCTCAAGGAATTAATCGACGCTCTTTCTAGACCTATAAAGTTTTCGCGCTCTTTGAAAAATCCGACATTGGGGTTCGTCTTCACCGGACAGGGAGCTCAATGGTGTGGGATGGCCAAAGAGCTTTTGGAAGTCTATCCAGTGTTCAAAGACACAATTCGCAGAATTGGAAAATACCTACGTTCGATTGGAGCACCTTTCGACGTTGAGGAGGAGATTACGATGGACCCAAAGGTATCTAAGATTAACAAAGCGTTGTACAGTCAACCAATGTGTTCCGCAGTTCAGATAGCTTTGGTGGAACTGCTCGCTTCTTGGAACATCAGACCTGCGTCAGTGACCGGTCATTCGAGTGGAGAGATAGCTTCGGCCTATGCAATAGGCGCATTGAGTCTAGAAGATGCAATGACTGCTGCATATCACCGCGGCGTTTGTTCTACCAGGATGCAAGAAGAGCATAAAGCTAACGGGGCCATGATGGCAGCCGGACTATCCGAGGAAGATGCAACACGATTTCTTGCTGAACTCAAGTCTGGTAAGGCTGTAGTAGCATGTTCAAACAGCCCATCTAGTGTCACTATCTCCGGAGATGTATCCGCAGTTGCTGAACTACAAAAGATCTTAGAGTCCAAGGGCATATTCGCGCGGATGCTTGCTGTCGAAGTTGCTTATCATTCGCAACACATGGAGCTTGTCGCAGAAGAATATGCCAAAGCAATTGCAGGCATACGAACGCGTCAAGGTAACGGAGCGAGGTTTTACTCGTCAGTGTACGGCCGTGAGGTCGGTGCGGACGACCTTGGTCCAAGCTACTGGGTAAAGAACTTGCTCTGCCAAGTAAAGTTTACGGATGCTATTCGTCAGCTATGCTTAGCCCCTGCTATTCAAAGCAAAAGAAGACAAGCCAAAAGACACGGCGTAGACTTCTTGGTGGAGATTGGGCCTCATTCGGCTCTCGCCGGGCCTATCAAAGAGACAATCCAGAGTGATCCAAAACTGAGAGTTGCAGAGATTACGTACGCTTCAGCCCTAGTGCGAAAGGTGGATGCTGCACGGACTGTTCTCGATTTAGCTGGGAAACTTTCGGCGATCGGATATCAGATCAACTTTGCAGCGATGAATCGGCCCACAGCAGGCCACAGTGCCATTGTCCTGGTTGATCTACCGTTCTATACTTGGAATCACTCCACCTCATACTGGGCTGAACCGCGGCGCAGCAGAGCATTCCGGAACAGAATTTTCCCAAGGGTGGATATACTGGGAGTGCGCGATGAGAACTCAGATCCATTACAGTTGAGCTGGCGCAACCATCTTCGCACTTCAGAGATACCATGGCTCTTACAACACAAGATTCAGTCCAGCGTAGTCTTTCCGGCAGCAGGCTTCATTGCTATGGCTATAGAAGCGGCTGCTCAGCGGTCAAAGGAAAAGTTCACCAAGCAAGTTTCCGGCTATCAGCTTCGTGAAGTCACCATCGGGACCGCGCTTCTTTTGCCTGAGCAAGAATCCGTAGAGACGATACTGACCTTGAAGCCAATTCGAGATAGTTCCAAACGCTACTCCAATATCTGGAGCGAGTTTCACATATATTCAGTAACAAATGATAACCGCTGGACGGAACATTGTCATGGCCTCATTTCTGTGCAGCACCGCCGACAGAAAGAGAGTGTTGGAGAAACCCATCTTTTACCTAAATCAGCAACAGAGGAGGAATTCAGAACCATCCTTCCAATGCCCAAGTTCTATGAGCATCTCTCCAGTATTGGCCTTGACTATGGCGAGGTCTTCCAAAATCTGGTCGAGGCTCGCTCTTCTCCGGATAAACTTTCTGGAGTTTTACGGCTGCCTGCAACAGTAACTACCATGCCCTCAGATCAGGAACACACTTATGTGATACACCCGGCTACTCTAGACGCTATACTGCATACGATATTTGGTGCACTTTCTGCTGAAAGATGGCTCCAGGACCCTGCCATTCCAGTTTTCGTGTCCAATCTGTTCATCTCTGCGGATACGCCTTTCCAGGCCGGTCATCTTTTGAAGGCTAATGCTGTCATCTCAACACGAGACAATCAAACGATGAAAACAGATATCACAGTAACAGATGATAACAACAATGCGCCAGTGGTGCAGTTTTCCGAGCTAGATTGGAGGTTTCTCCAAACACCGATCGAACAAGAGGACATTGTTGACAACCGTCACATCGCCTACACGCTCGATTTGGAAGCGGATGTAGACTTCCTAGACTTAAAACATGCTCAGCAAATACCTCACTCTGCTGCAGAATACATACGCCTACTAGGTTTTAAGAATCCCGAAATCTCCGTATTGGATATATCTGCATCAAGCAGGTCTACACTATCTTTCCTGAAGGCGCTAGAGGTCGGAAATAGCGCCGCCAAACAAAGATGCAGGGCCTACACATTAGCGCATGCTCAAGGAAACAAGATGGCCCTCGTCAGCGATGTACCAAATCTTCCTTACGACTTGGTCACTAAGAAAACGCTAGATCTAGATCTTGGTCCTCAGACGCCGGATTTTGAGTTAAAGTCATTCGACGTCATTATTGTGTCCGCTTCGTTAGCAGATTCCAACAACCCACATAAAGCTTTAGATCATATCAAAAGTTTACTAAAACCGGATGGCAGGCTTATCGTGCTTCATGAAGTTACAATGGACCAAGACCCAGCCCTCTCGCAGTGGAAAACATCATTACAGCAAGCTGGGTTTGTGGATCGTAAGCTCATTGAATTAGATGACTCAGGTGAAAGGGTAGAACGAGGCTCGCTCTTCACGGTTCATCCAAACCAAGAATTCAACCCCGCTACTCCTGAAATCATAGTCATGGCCGAAGACCACAATCAAACCATTGACACAGGCTACCTGACCAGTATACTGGGCTTAGAGCCTGGAAATATTCAGCAAGGTACCATATACGATGTCGTACCTGCCGAAAAGATACGCATTGTGTGGGATCCTTCTGGAGAACTGTTGAGTAGTCCTTCAATCGAGCAGTTCGAGGCTATCAAGCGGATCTTCACTCAGAGTGATAAATTACTGTGGGTTACTTCAGGCAGGGGTCAAGGTTCTCACCTGGAATCCAGCATGCTCACCGGACTTGCTAGGACAGCAAGGACTGAAAATGGTGCAGCAAGACTGGTTACTTTGAACCTTGACAACGAAGACAAGCTCTCGCAGAAGGATGTCGCAAGCGTGATATCCACCATTCTCAAACGTTCATTCTTAGGAACAGAACAGCAGCATATGGCTGAGAGCGAGTACATTGAGAGGAAAGGCGTCGTCACCATTCCTCGTCTCTCAGTGGACGATGCCCTGAATCAGGCGCTCGATTCCTATCTCAAACCTAAGGCAAAAGAGGTTCAACTATTGCATCACAAGGGCATTGTATTCTGTCTGCGTGATCGTTCTAATTCTCAAGAACCATTTTCTTTCCAGGAAATCGCCATTGATGAAAAGTTGGAAGAGAATGAAATTGAGATCGAAGTAAAGGCAATGACGCTAGTCTCTGGCAACAGTGTGGATATCCTCACCCAAGACATTAGCGGAGTCGTTGTCAAAGTGGGCGGCCAGGTATCACACTTATCAAAGGGTGATCGTGTCTTTGGCGCAGTATCGAATATCATCTCAAACTCATACAAGGGAAGAGCAAGTTCCTTCCAGAAGATACCGGATGGAGTACCTTTTGAGATTGCAGTCACATATCCTACCGCTTACAGTACGGCATATTATGCCATGTACCGACTTGCTAATGTTTCCAAAGCGGATAAAGTTTTCGTCTCATCGGCTGCAACGCCCATTGGCCGGGCCTTGATAGACCTCTGTGACAGAAGTGGTGCTAAAGTATACGTTGGAGTGAGCAATGACAAGGACGCGCTCTTCATGGAATCCACCCTCCACTTCCCCAAGGATCAAATTGTTTACAACAATGAAGAGCACTCAGTTGCAGCCCTGGTCACAAACACGCAAGGTCACGGAATGGATGTGATTTTCAACACGCTTTCTGGAGAAATTCTACAAACGTGTTGGGACTGCATAGCACCGTACGGTCGATTCATCGAACTCAGTACTCAGGACCTTGTTGAAAACTCCCGCCTTGAGATGTCCAATTTTAGGAAGAACACGAGTTTTAGCGCGCTAGACTTTTCTCGACTTCAGGAAGAAAGGCCAGCCTTGGCGGATGCGATATGGGGCCAGACTGTCGAACTACTCTCGAACGATTCCTTTAGCGGTACGATACCCAACCTACAACTCTTTAACAGCGAAGGGATAAGTCAGGCGTTTGAGCGTTTGACGGACGACGAGAATACCGACCATGTGGTTCTTACCTTCAATCCTAGTGATCGAGTCAAGGTTAGTGCGCAGCAATATGAAACTACTTTTCATCTGGAGCTTACATTATCAGGTCCTTCCCACCACTACCGAAGATCAACTATTTCGCGCTGACGCGTCCTATTTACTTGTTGGTGGACTAGGTGGTATAGGCCGAGCAACGGCATCATGGATGGTTGAGCGTGGGGCTAAGAATCTCATCTTTGCGAACCGAAGCGGTATGACCAAACAGGAAGCTAAAGATACAGTTCATGCTTTAAAGGCTATGGGCGCTCAAGTCCATGTTCAAAAATGCGACGTAAGCGACGCTGACCATGTTCGCCAGCTGGTTGAAGAATGTGCGAATCAAATGCCACCGATTCGTGGTGTGATCCAAGGTGCAATGGTGTTACGAGTAGGTGTTCCTTTCTCATCTTGACTTCACGTACTAAATAAAGACAGGATATGCTACTGGAAAAACTGACTTTGGAAGATTGGAATGCTGTCATTCGTCCCAAAGTAAATGGAACATGGAATCTACACAACCATCTGCCAAAAGACATGGATTTCTTTGTCATGCTCTCCTCAATAAGCGGTATCATCGGAAACACTACCCAAGCTGCCTATGCTGCCGGTAACACCTTTTTGGATGCATTTTCGGGATTCCGCAATGCCCAAGGGCTCCCCGCTGTTACTTTGGACTTGGGCGCAATCTCAGGAATCGGATACCTCGCCTCAGAAGAAAACAAACAACTTTCCAAGTCCATGCAAGATCAAGGCTTCATTATGACGGGCGAAAAGCTACTGCTCGCGCTCATACGATCCGCGATTGTACAGCCTTGTGGACGAGGAGGCAAAACGCAGACTGTGACAGGGCTGGGCACATGGAGAAGCGGCCGCTCCTTGTCTGCCATGAGCAATCCTATGTTTTCACATTTCCGGCGGCATGCAGCGGAAGCCGAAGTCACCGCGGAGACAAAGCAGATCTCAAACGGCAGTATGTCTGTCAAAGATGCTCTAAAATCTGCGGAATCAGCAGATGATGCCGCCGGTATCATCTGCAATGGGCTACTTAGCTACCTAGCAAGCAGATCTGGCGTATCCGTGGGAAACTTCAATTCCGAAATGTCTCTTACAGAATGTGGTGTAGATTCGATTGTGGCAGTCGATGTGCGAAACTGGATTGCACGGGAGTTGGAAAGCTCCATACCACTTTTGGAGCTACTCGCAAATCATCCTTTGTCCCAGCTGAGCGTGGATATTGCTTCACGCTCGAAATTAGTGCCAGTTGAGGTCAAGTCATGCGGAGCCACAGCTGCATCATAGACTCTCAGATGTAATATAGAAAGTGTTTTTATCATGTATTAAGGGACAATATCTATATAACTCTTGAACAAATTTCTTCGTTTTTTAGAACTATCTATGTGGTACTCAAGGTTTCAGCTTCTGGAAAGTTTTCTCACATGACTCCTATTACAAGCTATGATATTCTCTTGAACGATGGTTTTTTCTATAGATTAGAGATATACCGAATACTACTCCATAGAAAGATAAGCTACATCACCTAATTCCTTAAGTCCGCGGTTACCACCGTGAGCCGACAAGCCCAGCATCGGCGGTTACCTCCTCGGCTCACTGAGCCGAAATGTGACACTCTCAGCCGATGTCGCTTCCGAAGCTACACCGCGAACAAGAGCCGCATCATGGTCTTTTTGCCCGCCAAGCTCGATGTCGAGATGCTACTTGAACAGCCAAATGGGACCGCCCCAGAAGCCAAACGCTGCGTCTTGCAGAAACCAGTGCAACCAAGCTCAATTCAACTCACATAGTTACTACTATGTCGCAACCACTAGACACAGTGCGATCTGGCAGTCAACCAGTAGTATCGAGAAGAGCAAGCATCGACTCAACAACAACACACAGCAAGACCGAGCCTACGTCACAACCGGATCGTGACTTTGAAGACACACGCTCGAACACCGAAAATGGGAGTCAACCACCAAGAGATGTCGAGGCTACGCCAAACACAATGTCAAAAGTGGAGACTCAGAGCAGACCATTCTCCATCTTCACCCATCGTCAAAAGCTCGGCATCGTCATGGCCTCTGCCACCGCAGCCTTCTTCTCGCCATTGACAGCCTCAGTCTACCTGCCCGCACTGCCCGCCATAGCCAAGGAGTTCAAAGTCTCGTATTCCGCTATCAATCTGACGGTTACAACGTACATGGTCAGTCAACCACTTATGCTCTACATACAAAGACCTCCAAGTGCGCCAGCATGCTGACTAATAGATGAAAAGATATTTCAGGGCATTACGCCGATGTTCGTTGGCGCCTATGCCGACTCAGCAGGTAGGCGACCAGCCTACATGTTCTGCTTTGTCGTGTACATGGCAGCTAATATCGGATGTGCACTTGCACCCAACTACCCAGCGCTGCTCGTACTGCGCATGCTGCAATCTGCAGGCTCCAGCACGACTGTGGCTCTGGCGCAGGGCGTCGTGTCAGACATCATCACATCGGCCGAACGCGGCAGATACGTGAGTTACATGTCGACGCCAGTCTTGCTAGGGCCGTCGTTAGGTCCTGTTCTGGGTGGCACACTGGCACAGTATCTTGGGTGGCGGTGGATTTTCTGGATCCTAACCATCATGTGCGGGACTTTGTCTGTTGCCTTTGTGGTGTGGATGCCCGAGACGTGTCGTGGGATTGTGGGTGACGGGTCCGTTCAGCCCAAGCATATTGTCCACAGGTCGCTTTGGCGGGTCGGCAAGGACGTGCTGGCGACAAGATCGAGTCGCAAGCAACAGGCGCAGAGCAATGGACAGGACGAAGAGCACGCAGGTACTGGGCCATCGCCTCCTGGGCAGCCAGCCGTCACCAAGCACAAATTCAAGGCCTTACACGCTCTTATGCTGCTCCTACAGCCCAACATGGCCTTCCTGCTGCTCTACAGCAGCCTCATCTTCGCAAACTTTTACTGCATCATGACCTCGATACCCGCTCAGTTCACCTCAATCTACCACCTGACCGACCTCCAGACCGGGCTCATCTACCTCCCGCTCGGCCTGGGCACCATAGTAGGCTCACAGGTTGCTGGGCGGAGCCTGGACTGGAACTTCCGGCGACACTGCAACCTCCTCGGCCTCCCCTATGAGCGCAAAAGGCAACAGGACCTCTCCTCGTTTCCGATCGAGCGCGCGCGTCTAGAGGTTGGTGTTCCTGCCCTCATCCTGGGTACCTGCGTGGTCCTGGTCTGGGGCTGGGTTCTCCACGCTCGGACGCACCTCGCCGTTCCTTGCGTGATGCTGTTTCTCGCGGGCCTAGGATTGACTGGATTTAGCAATGTCGTCAGCACGCTCATTGTGGACATGAACCCCACGGCTGCGAGCGCGGCGACAGCGAGTAATAACTTTACGCGCTGCTTAGTGGGTGCTGGCGCGAGTGCCGCCATTCAGCCCATGATTGACGGGGTGGGCAGTGGATGGGCTTTCACAATTCTCGCGGGGATTAGTATGGTTGCGTCTCCGCTAACTCTTTGGACGTTGTTGAAGAAGGGCATGGGGTGGCGGAAGGAGCGGGAGGAGAAGAGGGGGCAGCGGGCTGAGGCCTTAGAAAAGACCAAAAGGGAGGAAGCTGTCCAGGAAAATGAAGAAAACGGCTCCTGAGTCGCGATGCACGCACACTGAACCAACATTTGTATTCAATTTTGAGCATAAGTCACTCACTAGAATGCAGATAGACCAAAGACATAGTCATATTCACATCCAAGCTTATCCTGTCTCTCGCCTGCTTGATCCATATCAAGTTCTGTGATGTCGTGACTCTGCTCGATGTTCTCGTCGTTTTGCCCAACCACTGATACAAACCGCATGATTTCCTGCAACGCGGTGCTTAGACCCCGGAACGATATATCGCAATCCCCCACAGTAAGCCAATGCTTGGCCAAGGCGCGAACGAGCTTCCGCACGCTCTCTGATTGGCATGCAGCATCGCAGTTCCCAGATCCAACAAACTTTATTACTACGTACGGGCCGACCCGTCTTACAATACCGAGGATGCTGACTGAAGGGTTGACCCGCCCCACCTCTCTGCCTTGGCCAGTCAGATGCACAAACGTAAGCGTCTCGACATAAAGGATCGAGAAATCTCACTTGAGGCCCCAACATCTCTCTGAAATGCTCGGATCTGACAGACATGTTGATGCCGCGGCTGTAATAAGCACTCGCCCGTGATAAGCATTCCATGTCACAAAGTCTGTCTCAGAGATCGGCTTACGGATCCTGACTATCGAACCCCCAGATGAAGTCGTCGAGAAATCCCCAGTCGGTTCCAAGCAGAGAGTCTGTACCTGTGGTTCCCGTAGAAGAGAGAGAGGGCTCCGTCTCGCCCGGCGGCACCGTCGCGCTACTAACATTCCCTGGCATACCGGTCTGTTGCTGTTGCTGTTGCTGTGACTGAAAAAGCTGCTGATCCTGCTGGACCGCTTGGAACCTAGCAGGACCACCGTCAGGACCACTAGTTCCGGTAGAACTTGTCGATGGCGTCTGCTGCTGATGTTGCATGTGACTACTAGCTTCACCCACACTGACATGTATTCCCATGGTCTGCGTCTGAGGGTGTGGCTTATACGGTCCCATATGCACGGGACCGTGCTTGCTTTTCCAGCGGATCATAAAATCCCATCCTAAAGCTGCTACCATGCGCTGGCGGAACATCTCAACGAGTACAGGCTCATAGTCTGGACTAGCTCCAGCTGAGGCAGCTTGGTCGCTATTGTTGTTGTTCTCGTTTTCATTACCAGTTGGTGCATTGAAACAACTGGCGGCAGCGGCGGCGATGTATGGTGCGCTTGTCGTGTCCCACAGCTCAACGCACCGTGCGAGTCTCCACGCCAGATCCCCTTCAACAGCTGAGATGCGGCGTGAGATTGTGATAGTGTGAGCGGATAACTTAGAGGCTTCTTCCGGCACGACGATCTGCAGGTGTCTCAGAGGCAGATCAGAGCGGATGACACGGAAGATGACAGTAACGGCATGTGCAATGGGGCGTATGGTATAGTGCGGGAGGTAGTGCAGAAGATCTGTCATCTTGTCGAGATCCATTACTCTGGTGATGACGGTTGATGCCGTAGTGTAGCATCGCAGAATGTCTGCTTCGATGGAGGGAGAGAGATTATCTCTACCACTGAGTGAGCTAACGGCGGGGGATGATTGACTGTTTTGGGTTGGTATTGGGAGAAAATAGTACATCTGAACCTCGAGGAGAACAAATAGGGTGTGGAGAGATAATACTGGGTCTGCATGTCGTAGGTAGTCAGCTACATAACACTGGCAAAAGGATACGATGGCTTACCCGTGTGTTTGGAGATGATTCGTGCTCGGGCTGCGACCCATTCATCCTCGAATATTCGGACTAACTCATACGGTACTCCGTTGGACTCTTCAAGAGAAGAGCCTAGCGTCTTATTGACTCTGTCCATAAAGACCTGACATTCGAGCTGTACGCGAAAGCTGATGGGTAGAAGACTAGCTTCGTCATGGATCATGTTCAACGTGGCCTTGTTCATTGGAGCTGTGCATGGGAGGCCAAGGTTGGTTGATAATCTGCCAAGGTTAGTCAGTTAAGAGAGTCTTATTGGCAACGCATATGTGGAATGTACCTTCGATTTACGATAGCAGACGCTACCCATGTAACAGCAGCCTCGATATCAGATGAAATGGTACCGAGAGTGACATGGTTGTACTCCGGGTGTCTGCCGGAGGCTGTGTGGAAGCCGAGCAGCAGGCACGAGTTGATGGCAATGCCACTCAGCCAGTAGGCCGGATCATTGATGAAACGAACACCCGGATACAAACCCCAGGCAGCGACAAGAAGTATGGCGTGTAGTTGAGCGAGAGGCTGAGGCACCTTGGGAACAGCGGCATCAGTCTCATGCTTAACGTGCTCTGCAAGAAGGCGGATCGTGGCAGGGTTGGTGTTTGTGGGTTGACGGCGGCAAGAGATGAGAACAATGACCCAGAAAAGAAAAGGGCTTGTGTTGTAACACTTGTTTGGATCACGTTGGCTAAGGATAGGGAAGTGGGGATGGAAATAGCGAAAGTAGCTGCATGCTATGATTAGTTCAATTTGCAGCAACGCAACATGACGAGACATGCGTACATGTTGAAATGCTCATCAATCTCTGGTCCAGTAAAGGGTTGTGAGTCGAGCGCCCTGTGTACGCTGGGCACTGCCGTCGAGTCGACTGGTGTATCGTCGACTACGACAGCGTTGTCACCATAACAACTATTGTGCTCTGATGCAGCGGCAGAGAAAGCCGGTGTAACACTGGACGACGAGGCCTCGTTGGCACCCTGTACTCTGGGTGACCAGGTGCTTGGACTAGAGGGTGTTTGAAGTGCCGGCTGTCTAGCAATATTACTGCTATCCACCACCACCGTTTCCCTGATGGCCTGCACCTCGCGGGCAAGCTGGTCAAGTTGGCTGCCGATGTACCATGTCAGTTGATGAAGACCACGCCTGACAAGGACAAAGTATCCTCTAGACAGGAAATAAACTAACCTCTTGCGTGTGGTGCGGCGACATGTGGGATTGACGATACATGAGAGGTTGAGCTTGGTGCAGCGCTGGCATGGCCGGCCGGCGATGGAGCTGGGGTTGCAGCGCACCTTGGAGGTACGGCAGTGGGTGCAGGCTGCGTTGCGCGACATGCGCGTGCTCCGGCCGGGCGAGCTGCTGGCTCCCTCTGCCATTATCGCCGATGTCATTCACTGAGTCGGAGCTGGAGATCAGTATGCGCGCGCATATGGGGTGTTTACAAGAGGTGTTGTCGGCTCACAGCTTCTCGGCTCGGCTGACGGCTGAGCTCATGTGGACCCTGACCACTCTGCACTGAATGCCGGTATCCTACAGTAAAGCCTCTGGCGACTTACGCCTAATGATTCAAGGTACGCATACACGATGTTCCATATTCAAGAGAATGACCCTCATATCTGTGTACATGCGTCATCTACGTCTGCCCTCTTCTGACGCCTACTTGATTTCCTCTATACACATGTACATATAGTCGATGACCTCAATCATCCCCACATGCCCAACCACCAACATCGCCGCCAAGAGATATCATCGTTATATAGTCTCGCTGCATATGCCATATAGCCTCGTTATCCGTGGAATATTCACCATAGCCCTAAACCCGGGGGTTAGTACTTGGGCGCCAACTACCCGTCAGCCGAGTCGGCTCCGAACTTTGTGCCCCAAACTCCGCTCTTAACGCCACCATGTCGTGCCTCACCAGTGGACGCTGTGCAGATAAAACGCTCAACTGCAACTCTTGAATTGTACTCCATAGCTTTTTCACGCCCTCCTGATTTGGCACGCACTCATAATACCATCAGTTCACAGTTTTTGTGCCACATCATTTTTCATTAAACACTTACGATCATGGCTTCCTTTGCAACTAGCAACACCGCCCTCATCCTGCTCGACATACAAAAGGGCATCATGATGGGCAATTTCCCAGACAAGACACCGGCATACATTAGCCAAGCATCCAAGCTGCTCGAAGCCGTGCGCTCCGCCAACAAGTCTAGCAACAAGCCACCCATCACTATTGTACATGTGAAGGTTGCCTTCCGGGCCGGCAGACCAGAACTTAACCCAACGAGCAACATGGGCGAGCGGCTCAAAAACGTACCCGCCAACGTCTTTGTCGAGGGTGATCAGTCCGTCGCCCTCTTTGACGAGCTTACCATTCCTCCCAAAGCAGACGGAGCCGACTCTGGCCAAGATGAGGTCTTCGTTACCAAGCGTCGCGTCTCCGCCTTGTCTGGCACAGACCTAGCTACCATTCTGCGCGGGCGCGGTGTGGGCCATCTCGTGCTGTGTGGCGTGGCTACTGCAGGCGCTGTGTTATCAACCGTCCGCGAGGCTGCGGATCTGGATTACAAGCTTACCGTCCTCAAGGATCTGTGTTTGGACAAGGACGAAGATGTACACAAGCTGCTGATTGAGAAAGTGTTTCCCATGCAAGCCGAGGTGCTGGAAACAGACGATTGGGTTGCTCGAGGCTTTGCCTGAAGGTGTGTGCGCGCAATTGGAGGACAGTGATGATCCAATGGTCATTGCGATCAGAAATGTTCATCATGTGGTTGATATCCAGCAGGCTACGCATTTATTTCGTCGCACGTTCTTTACGAGAACTTTAGAGCAGCAGTCAAAGATTTTGAATTATCATTTACACACTACTATAGCTTACTCAAAACGTAATATGTAGAGGTCATTGTTCTGCTACGTTTTTCTTATAGTCTATCCTATACCTCTAGGGAAAAAACGTCAAATAGTCGAAGTAATCAGAGAGGAAAGACAGATATCTATCCTCGAGTGAAAATAGAAAATGAATTTCTAGTAGAAGAGCCGTATAACGTAACTAGCAAGCATAAGCTTGAAATATCAGGTGTTGAGCTTTTGGTTGCCATTTCAGTGATGGAAATATTAGTCCTCTGATCCAACATGTAGTAACAGCAATTTAGTTCCTACAGCTTTAGCTGCATAGTAAAATCGGTCCTAGAGGGTTTTCGTGCAAGAAGACGCGCGATTTAATTATCTCTAAGAACCTCTACGCTAATTAGCCTTATCCGTAATAGGATATTAGGAATCTCTGTTTTCAGATAGCGCCTAGTCATCTAACAAACACTAGAAAACTAGGTGAAAAATAAGCTGAAAAACGAGCTTGTAGACTAGCTTAGGAAAGAGCTAGAATATAAGCTAGAGTAGATAGAAAAAGTAATAGAAATTTACTTTCCGTACGAGCAGCTAGAGGCAAAGAGTCCGTACTAAAGGCACGCCTTACATTATATACTAAGTATATGATGTTAAGGATTAATGATTAAAAAGATCTAAGGAATGGGTTTTTCGGCCGTAAAGTATTTGTTCCTCCAACTGCAGCTTGGATTGGGTCCGTTTTGACGCAATTCTAGAAAATTATTAGCGGGGAGGTTGACGATAAGGAGCGCACACTACATGACTCTGCAATACGGCAGCGCTCGCCCTACCTACCAAAACAACCATACCTTCGGTCTCCGAAGAAGAACAAGAAAGAAAAATGGCAATGAATTGTGAAACGGTGTGTGCTATTTTATGCGCAGCACAAGGCTAGACCTTAAGCTTCGCTTGTCATTCGTGCTCAAGCCTCCCTAAGCAATTGCAATTGCGACAGCAGTAGTATTTGTAGCTAACCTGTTGCGACATCAGAGACACCGCAATAACGACACGTAAAGTAAGCCCAGAAGCGCTTCCAAAGTAGATACACAATCATTTTTGCTACACGGTTCAGTATACACGCATGCGACACATTACTGCAGCGGAACACAGGCCCAGGCAACAGTTGCTAATGTCAACTAATAATCGACCCTATTTCACCGAGCAGAGAAGGTTTGCCTGGCGACCATCACAATCAACATCTGGATCTTCCGCTATAGCACCTGATGCGATTGATCGGAAAAATTCAAGGTGGGCAACCAAGGGAGACTACAAAGTCCATGCGTCGAGTTCTAGTCAGTAGAAATAGCACGTGTCGAGTGTCGGGATTTTGCATCCACCAAATGAGTAGCAATGGCCCCAATAGCACCGTGACCTAATCTGTACTTTCACTTGAGAAAAAAAATTGAATATACGAGGATACGGATACAACAAGAAAACTTGATGTGTTAGAACGTTCGCCTTAACTATTGATGCAACATGATCTAAGCTTGAAGAACGCGAAGTGGCTGTCTAAGCGACATCAAACATGGAGCGTCCAATTTAGAACGATTGTATCAAGAAGGAATCAAGATACAATCAATGTTACAACATGTAGCGATACCTTCACAACAGCTAAAATCAAAGCACAGGCTTGCAACGGCGCGAATCATGCTAGCAACCCTGACTAGCCTTAACCACGGCGAGGTTCCGGAAATCCTCCCAGCACATCTATCATTACTTTCTACATACCGCCTAAACTGTTATATCCTCATGTATAAAAGCAAAGACTCCATCCGCTCTTTCCTATACAGCACCCAGAATCATAACTTGAACAAGCACACCAATCCGCTTCTACACCTTTCATATTCTTAATACTTCGCACAAAAGTTCAAAATGGTCCGCATCATCTCCCTCGCCGCCAGCTTTCTAGCCCTCCTCGTCTCAACCGAGGCCTGCCAAGGTTACTTCCAGTGCAAGTACACCGATGGATCCCACTGCTGTGTAAGTTTTGACCTTCCAAACAACTTCCTTTCATTCACTAGAGGTACTGATACTCATTCTCGAATAGGTTATCTTCAGTAGCAAGGGACGAGATGCTTGCCCCTCGTACTGCAATGGAGCTACAGCTGGTTGGGACCCGGAGTGCATTAGCACGCTTACTGGTAACAAGCGAAAGTTGTACGTTATACCAGCCTTTCTTTTCCCTGACTTTTGTAAAATGGTGTACTGATACGTGGATTTAGGTGCGACAACTAGATTTCTTTCCGGACGAGCGGTAATGAGTAGCTGGGTGGAATAGACGTTGATGGATTGCGTTTGAAAAAGATTGAAGGGAGTTTGGGTGAATCAAGAATAATAACAAGCATGAGTTTTAACACACTTAACCGTGCTTGATCCTGCATATGGGTGCAATACATTAAAAATCACAGTTGTGAGCCATGAATACCGATCAGAATAGAGATTCTAGAGCGTCGTATATTCCTGTACTCTACCTACAGCTCTGGCCACCACTGACCGAAACCCCCAAAGAAGCATTCCCAACCGCCCTTTGAGGGTAGGGACACAGCAAGTTCGTCTTGTTGAACGTATTGACAGCATCCAAAGAATCAGGAGCGACACCCTGCTCAACCCAGTTCACAAGCGCGTCCATAACACCCAGAGGCTGCCCACCAGCTCCTCCCGTGCAGTGGCTCAATCCTGGAGCTTCGAATAGTCGGAAGAAGTCGTGGACATCAGGCGAGATTTCTTTCACGGCGTCATAGTAATGTCTTGTGTTGCGGAATGGAATACCGTTGTCCGCCTATTTCTTACTTTAGTATCAGTGCATCCAAGATTCTTTTTGCTTGAAAAAAAAAACTATTAACGAACTCACCATTCCGTGATACGTAATCATTTTCCCGCCAGCACGGTGAAAATCCCGCAGATCCGGATCGCCAGTCCCGATTATCGAGTCGAACTCTCGAATTCCCTGGAGAAAGACTTGTTCGTAGTCTTTTCTCGACATGGTACGCGCATTGAACTTGGCGTCCTTCTTTACAAACAACCTGATCCAGTCGGTCCACGTGGTTCGGGGTACAGCGGTGCAAGTTCCATTTGCCGAGCAAGTCGTCTGCGCAGGACATTCCTCGGCGGTGAGATTGGTCTCGAAGCCGTACGAATACCAAAGTTGCGAGCCGTCGCTTGCGCGGGTGCCGCTCCATGCTGCTTCGGCGACCTTGGCTGCGGTTTCTGAAATGCTGACTGTGGACCCAGTAGCACCCGGGCAGTCAATCGTCTTTCCGACCATGGAGTAAGGGTTAAACTGGCAAGCGTCTGGGTTGGAGATGAGTCCGTCCAGGGCGCCATCATGGCCGTCGCAGGCTTTGATAGCAGCGGTAGTGAGTGCATCGAGTTCACATGGACGAGGATATTTGCCCATCTCACTCATGACCTGTTGTGGGTAGTATGCTGAGATGAAGAGCTGTGAGTAGTATATCGCAGGTGCAGCAGCCGCAATTCCATCATACAAGTCGGGATATCTTTGCGCAGCCATGATGCCTTGCCGCCCTCCCTGCGAACACCCGCTAAAGTACGAGTACTTTGGGGCCGTGCCGTAAAAATCCTTGACGATACTTTTCGCGGCCAGCGTGGCATCGCTGATGGAAACAGATGCAAAGTTTTGGAGCGCATAGAGATTGACGTTCCCAGGACTCAATAATGCCCAGTCATCAGCGATGTTTGATATTGGAACTCCAGCATCCGTAGCCACTGTCGCGTATCCTCCCGCAAGGCCTGCATACATGCGTTCGTCAATGACTGGGTGCAGACCTGCTACCCAGCCTCCGCCACCGATACCTTGAAGGCGGTGATTCCAGGTCGGTTTTATAGGTAGGAGAATTTTAGTTGTGACCTTGTCATTGGTGCCTGGATGTGTATGAGTGATGGTGACGCTGCAGAACTGCAAGTTTTGTGCATCGACATCGCCAGAGTTTGGATTATTGGAGTACGGCACGAAGGTGGAGTGATTCTCAACTAGTGAAGCCGCAATGCTCTGGAACTCGGCGCCATAGACACTGGGCAATGTGAAGGCGCTCGACTCGCATTTGCTGGCGATGGAGTCCATGGCGTGGAAGTTGATTTGTTGTGTGTACTGGTATCCGAGCGGAGGATGTGCTGCCATGGCTTTTATGTGGAAAATACGTTCTTTGTTCCTGTGGGGACCTCATCTTCACAGTCACTCGTCACTAAGTACGTGCGTTCACGGTTTTAGTGAATGGTAAATATGCTTTTTTACAATCAAATCTAGATGAGTTGACATATACTTTTCATCTACTGTCTAGGTCAGATTGGCCAAAGGGATATAACACGGTGGTAAGGAGATGCAGCATGCCGTATGTGAATCAAGTGCTTACAAAATTGGAGCGCCCTTCTTGAATGTGATTCTTATGTGGTAGTTGCCCAGGATGTTTCATTTGTTCTCTGTACATAAGACACTATATTTTAATGAAGTGGCGCATACTCCAAACATGTCGCTTGTACGCCTTACCGTCGTCCAATCCTGACTTCCGGGTCGGTGTACTGCTTTTCCATGACTTTCATAGTGGTATAGGTAATTCCTAAGCCTATAATGAGATCGTAGAGAGGTTGGGATTAAGTTTAAGATGTCTGGTGCGGTTGCGTGGCTGATGGCTAGTGGGTAGCCGTTACACGGGCCCGTTGCATAGTACTAGTAATGGTAAGCAGGGACTTCCGGTGGTAATACTAATGGTACTATGTATGTAGGCTAGTCTACTACGTGCCGGGAGCATCTATGCGAGAGCCGGCAATTGTCAGAACATATACAAAAGTACACAACGGCGACGCCGGAGATAGCTACTCTGTAAACGAGAAATGTCCCTCGCAAATGGTTGGATCGCTTCGGCTGTGGGATCTTTGTAGGAGGCGAGACTGCAGGGGGTCAAAACAAAGCCCGTAGCACGTACTAACCTGTAGGGGGCAACTTGCTCAAACTGCCTCACACATGCATGCGCCTGGTTTCGCCCCGAAATACGCCTTTTCCAACGGTTTGTACTCCTGATGGGTAAATCCACATGTACATCACCGCGTAGCATTAGCCCGTTACTAATGTGGATTAGATTGCTCGTCGTCGCCAGCGCCACATCTCGCCGCCTGGTTGATGGGATTGACTCTGCATCCTTCGATTCCTGCAGCTAGGCTGAAGCTGGAGAGACGGCGAGATGAGGTCGAATCTTACTGAATACAAACATTCACTGCGACCAACGTGTCGTCTAATTCTTCCATCATTCCATTCTATACACATATATGGGCCTCAGTAACATTGCTCGATTATGATATTCACACAGCTTGCCAAGGCTCTTTGCCTCTGGTCTCTCCTTCTAGTACCTTTTACTGTCGGCCAGAATACCTCAGACCATGAGTCCAACAAGAACAGAACCCTGAGTATCGGTATTGTACGTCACTCACCGCCTGCCCCTCCTGTTCAAGGATCAAAACCACTGCGACTGACCTTTTTCCTAGATCATCTTCGATGGCTTCGAGCCCATTGAGGTCTGGGGACCACTTGAATACCTAACAACTGTAAGTAATCCGCCCGTGTGCAAGCTGCGTCATCACTGACCGCCCACACAGTTGTCAGCCTTCTACAAGATGACCCTGTCCATCATTTCATACCAAAAGGGTCCCGTCAAAGGCACCGTCAGTGCGCGACTCCAGCCACACCTCGGGGGCGATTTCAGCAGCACACTAGGCGCAGAAACAGCAGTTACCCATACGTTTGCCGACGCACCAGCTCTTGATGTCATTCTGGTTCCCGGTGGCACGGGCGTCATAAACGCGACCTTGAGTAACAGGACCGAGATCGAGGAATTTCTCGTTCGACGTGCCGACCAGGCTGAATATATTCTCGGGCTCTCGTTTGGAGTCACGCATCTGGCGCGGTCGGGCCTCCTCAATAGCAAACGCGCAACGACCAATAAGAGCGGGTATCAGTGGATCGTGGGCTATGGACCAGAGGTCAACTGGGTGCCGCAGGCTCGGTGGGTCGTTGATGGCAAGTTCTGGACTGCTTCAGGCATGATGGCCAGCTTGGACATGACATATGCGTGGTTGTCCCATGTTTATGGAGCTGAAGGGCCTGTTAATCAGCAAACGAATGGTATCGAATATGCTCCACATCTTGATTCTTCGTGGGATCCTTACGCCGTTATTTTCAATGTCAGTCCAGGCCATGTTCTCTTGTGGAAATTATCATCTTGTGCTGATTGCTGATATCTCGCAGGTTCCTGGTGCGAATGCCAGCCGGCCCTCCCAAGATTGTGTCGGACCCATTGGGACATGAGTAAACAGAATGCTTCAAGTTCACACTCACGTTAGTACTTGGGGCATGGGGGGTAGCTGGAATAACGTCAGTTTGCCGAGGTCATATGGACACTTCTCGCTCAGAAGAGCAAAACCGCAATTCTTCTATCTTCTGCATCTCAATTCCTAAGTTTCTATTCCATCACATTTTCAACAAGAAGAATCACATGGAACAACTTTCAATCATCTCCAAAGATCCAATCACCCACTACAATACCCTTTGCCCAACAAATCCCCTCAAAATTCAATGATACAAACTACTCATCACACCTAACTCCCCTAATCCTCACATTCCCGGGCAACCCAAGACACTTATCCTGACTCTTCGACCCTCACCCCACACCGGCAAAATCATCCCTTTCATAAAACGTAATCTGGCACCTATTGTTGCTCTAGTACATGAGACTCGTTCCGACATCGTAGCTGTAGCAGCGCCCGGCGGACCAGTTGTGCTGGAGGTTGCCTCTGCAGTTTTTGACAATCCAGGCGGATGATGTCCTAGCGAGCAGGAAGAGGAGGGTGGTAGGTTTCATGGTGGATAAGGAAGTGGGGGGTTGGCGGTGTTGGATGGGTGAAGAATGGTGTTTTTGGAAAGAAAAAGATATATGAGTAAGGAGAGCTTGATTGTGTCTGATGTTTTTTTTTCGTTCTGCGACACGCTGCGTATTGCTCCTTTTATAAGCGTATTTGTTTGTCCTGCCAAGTATGCTAACTGACATTTTTTGACCCCAATATTGAGGGAATGTAAATTTGTACGACAGAGGTTTAAAGTTTGGACGTTGATGTTCCAAAAAGGCGTGTTGTCCTTCTACCTTTTGGGTTACTGTTTATGATCCGGTCAAGCTGTCGATGGGGATATGTGCATCGATGTCCTTGGCAAACGAGTCTGCGGACGACAAGGAGGTATGCTTTCGGGTTTGAATATCCAGCTTGAATTCTAGAAATTAAACCCGAGTTCCTTGAAATCGACCGATTAAGCATTTATTTGATGTTACCCATCCAGAAGAGAACTGGGCGTTGTATCCTAAAACATCCACACCCGTCTCACAACAGCCCGGAGTCCCTCATCTTGGCGGAGGGTTATTTTATAGAGTCAATGATTCACGGCGTTGCCCCTTGGCTTAGAAGAGAAAGTGACACAGTAGTTGTGCCGATCTTCCGTCTTAACCCGAACAACACATACTCAGTCTCGTCCCTCATCGATACACTCGCATTAGCTCCAGTCAAGCTCGCCTCTCTTTACCGCATGTACTTGAAGATTTAACAAAAAAAATTGAATAATAGTTTTCAGGCAAGTTTTCCGGTTAAGAGCTTTTATGGCTCTCTTTGGGGGGTCGGGATTGATATTCAAAGCCCAAATGCATACTATATCAACCGCTCCTTATTCCTTCATAACGCCGAGAACATGCTCCACAAAATAAACACCAGGCGTATCTCCATACCCCTCAGTCGGAGGCTTTGATTCAGCCTTGCGCAAACAGGCAAGTTCAGAATCGAGTTTTGCAAACCACCAGTAGTACCACTTCCATCCTTTCTCTTTCCATACTTTGCCCCATACTACGCAGCAGCCTTACTCCTAACCTCCAACTTCCTCGGCTTCTTCTTCTCCTTCACTGCCCCATCCCCCCCTCCCTCCTTCCTCTGCCTCTCAATCTCCTCCGCAGCCCGTCTCAACGCCTCAGGATCCGGTATACCATCTTCTTCCCCGTGCATCCGCTCTCCCATCTCTTCCTCTACTTTCTTTTCGTCCTCTTCACCCTCCCCCTCCGTTTTCTTATCTTTACCATCACCATCCTTTCCTTCCCCCTTCTTGCCCCCAAGTTTGATCCACGGCCCATGTACGCCACCAACTCCAGCTCCAACAAGCGTCCCTACCGCCGTCGTAGGAATTGTCGCAACAGTTCCCACAAGCGTCCCTACAACCGTGCCTAGTCCGGCTCCAACAGCCATGCCAATGCCCCCACCGCCCATACTCCCCTGGAACGCACCCGAACTCAGCATCCGCGCCTTCTTACTGTTTCCATGGGCCTCAATCTCCTTCTCGTACGCATCGCGCAGGTACTTTTCGCGCTTGGCGGGATCTTTGATGGTTTCAGCTGCGGCGCGGAGAGAAGATGCGGTTTTGGCGGATGCGAGGGCGGATTCGGCGCTCGCGGCTGCTTGTTTTAATTTGTCTTCGGGACTGTCTGATTTGGCGGCGATGTTCTTGAGCTCGTCTTCGGGGACAGAAGGAGTCTGCTGGTTCAGCTTCTTGGGTGGCATCGTCACGGGGGCGGCACACTATGTGGAAGAGGTTTCAGTCTCTTGTATTGTGTGAGAAATTTTTTATAGATATTATAGAAATGCCATCATGGGAATCGCATGCGGACTGGAAAGAGGTATGCCATCATCTAAAGTGCGATGTCGACTCTGACGTCATTCGTCACGTCTCCGCGGTTCAAAACTTGGAATACGCGTACTACTACGACAGCAAAACAAATACAATATTATCACATGGGCTGAATCACGATTCCATTTGGCTAGATGTTTTGATACTGCTGTATTAAATTTGTGGACCGAGGATTAAATAAGATCATACTATGGTCTCATTAATGTATATACTAGCTACTCACTTGTTGCTTATTCCCAAGTCAACGTCCAGCTACCATGCCAAGCTCCAGCACTTGTCAACTCATTGAGGCCTGTCAGCTTCAAAACGCTACTGGTCTTGTTGTAATCAACGTTGCTAGCATCGATCACCTCACCATTCAGCTTGACGTGTTGGACCTCAGGGGCTCCCAACACTGTCACGTTGGCAAGCGCGTTGGTGTCCTTGAACTCGCCTTGAACATCAACCTCCAACTTTCCGCTCGTAGCAGCAAACGTAACATCGAGGCACGACTCTGGCTCGATGGATTCACCGTCGTCAACGTATAGGTGACCAGATGCGGCGCCTTCGCCAGAGAGTGCGACAATGAGACCCCAGGGGTTCTGGCGGGACTCGGTTGTCGTGTATCCAGGCTCCTGAATAGGCAGGACCGAACCTCCACGAATATATACAGGGATATGGCCCAAAGGTGCAGAGATGGTCGTGTTTACGCCAGCCTCAGCCTGGACACGCTCGCCAGAATACCAGTCAAACCAGGTCTCGCCGTCAACAATACCAGGAAATACTCCCTTAACAGTATCGACTTGAGGTTCGAGTACAGGTGTGACTAGGATGTTTGGTCCAAGCAAGAACTGTGTGTCCACACCAGCGAGTTGGGGCTCGTTGGGGAATTCCCAAGCCAGCGCCCGCATCACAGTTGACCCAGTCTTGTGGGCGTCATTGAATAGCGTGTACATGTACGGCAACAGAGAGTAGCGGATGTGCATTGCGGTCCTTGAAGCAGAAGCCACAGCCTCCCATCGGTAGGGCTCTTGAGGGATAGCTGAGAGTACGTTGTGGTTGCGGTAGAAGGGGAAAAAGGCCGAAAGCTGCATCCATCGAGAGCAAAGCTCCATGTCGGTGTTTCCGTTGAATCCACAGGTGTCGACACCAAACATCGGAATACCGAATAGTGAAAAGGACAATGCTTGTGGAATCGAGAAGAACATGTAGGCCCATTTAGACGCGTTATCGCCGCCCCAATGACCAGCCCACTTGCCGCTGCCAGCAAACGTGGAACGTCCAATGATAAAGGGACGCTTTCCAGGGAACACCGAAAGGAGACCTTGATAAGTAGCATTGATAATCTGGTGACCGAAGAGGTTGTGGACATCGTATTCTTCTACGCCATTCGCGTGGGTTGCATTGGGGCTGACAGCATGAACAGCAAGATCAGCGCCGTCTTGTACGTGGTTGATGACATAAGGAGGATAGTTGATGTTTCGCTCCCCAGCGGTAGGGGTCGAGCGGAAGTAGCTTGTCGAAGTAGAAGTCACTTCGTCAGTCACTGTCGCCGTCGCACTTGCCTTTCTGGACTCTTGGGCGGAAGCTGCTGCAGAAGCGGACGCCGCCTCGGTACCATTTGTGATGTTGAAGCTCTCCGGGTAATCGTAGATGACGTTGTTGACCTCACCGGGAAGCGAGAAGGGCGGATGAGCCGGGTTCAGGGTGACATTGCCAGTACCGCAAGATCCGACGCAGAAAGAAGAGACTTCGGTCATGTCAACCCAGAAACCGCTGTATGGCACCTCTTTGTACCACTCAACCATCTCCTTTACCCACCACGATACACCGTTGGGCGACAACCAATCAGGGAAAACAGTATATCCAGGCCAAACAGCACCGATATATTGGCTGCCGTCTGGGTTGGACAAGAATACGCCAGATTCGTTGCCACGTGTATATGTGTCATATGCATCGCTTGCGTTTTGTGGGTTGGGAATGTAGATAGCTGCATCAACGATGGGTACGAAATGCTGGTTGTTTCCATGCAGCCATCCAAAGAATTCAGCCACGTCAGAGGGAGGGAAAGTCACGGGATCCAGCGTAAAGTCACGGTACTGGTCCATGTAGTCAATGTCGAGCCAGATGGTTTCTGCAAAATGATTAGCAAGTTTGCAACAACACTTGTCAAACGTTCGTTAGGAGCGGACTCACCCATTGGGATGTTGAAAGCTCTCATAGTCTCAACAATTTCTCGAGTCTCGGTCCAGTTGCGGTAACCCCAACGGCATTGATGAAAGCCAAAGGTCCAGTATTGCTGCATTGCTGGCAGGCCAATAGCCGCCTTTTGATACGCTTTAGTAACGTCCGGCTGCGAAGGTCCATCGAAGAAGTACAGATCAATAGCACCTCCCAAGGTCCTCCAAGTTAGGTGATCGGGCTTCATCACTACGTCCATACCATGGGTGTTCCGGTAATAAACGCCGTGAGAACGCGACTCGTAGGGCGAACCATTGGGTTTGGCATCTTTCTTCTGAGCGATCTCGGACTGCGTCAAGGGCTTGGTGCTACGGCTCTCACCCTTCTCAAAGTACCGGGTCTCGAGGTAAAAAGGATGGCTGCCGTACAGGTTGCGGTCGATAGGATCACCTACGTCAGCAGCATAGATGGTCGCAGTGAAGTTGTTGTTGAGACGAAGACCGTGAATTCGTTCGCCCAGGCCGTAGAGGTTGTAGTCCTCTGGCAGGTTGTTTACAAACTCAACAAACTGATTCTCGTAAATGAGTTTGGTGTCTTGGGTTGTGAATATGACGTCTCCGGTCGAGCGACGCTCAATATTGAACCAAAAAGATGGCTCATTCCCCCCTGCATACCTGTCAGCTCATTTTCTTGGCCGTAATCAATACAATATTAATGAAATATACATTGAAAAGTTGATGAAATAAATTCCAAGCAACTTACAATTGAACTTGAGATCGGCCTGCTCGGATGATTCCTCGACCTGAGGACGCGGAATGAGATCTTCGGGAACAATCCAGTGCGATTGGTTGCTTGCACCAATGTGCTTTGGTACAATGTTGACTGAGAGCCTTCCCTTGGCCTGGTACTCGACCTTCAAGTCTAGTTCCTGGATATCGGTGCCGTAAACATTGCATGGCTTTCCAGCCAAGGTCAATGTGGCGGTCAGGCCGCGATCACTCTGCTGAAGGTCTGATGCTGTGTAACCAGGACAAACATCTTGCGCATCGACAGCTTGAGCATCGTAGATGTTGGGGATCTGTTGAACGCCCTTGTCGGCAGATGGGGGAATGGTAAAGACGGGGTTGAAGGAGGTGGGCGTGCCAGCGAGCGTAGTGCTCCATCCACCATTCGAAGAAGTGGTGGGTGCTTGGCCAGCTGTGAGTGCGAGAAGAGAGGACAGCACAGTAGAAGCCTGGACGAAACTCGTGTGCGTCATGATGGCGGTGCTGAACCGGTCAAGAGCTGCCTGGAGATTCCCAGTGCCCCATGGCGGCCATGTCGTCTCTTTATAGTCATCGCTGTGTGGTTGTTGAAGGATCTGCTGAGCCATCCGAGCTACTATGTATCAATTGAGCATAGAGCAATTCCCTACAATGAGGTAGTCTGGAGTGACGATGAGCAACATGGAAATGCAAGCCGGACGCAAGCGCATGGGGCTTGCATAAGCGAGGCGCGTGCGGGGAAAACATGGAGTGCCGCCCCGACATTGAACGAATAGGATTCCACCGGGGCGTGTTTTATTCGCGGAGACAGTACAAGTGCGGAGATGGGAAATACCTTTTCAAGTGTAACATGACGCAGCCTCTATGATTTTCAGAAGCTTCCGGGTAAGAAGCTTGGAGCGGGTGGCTGGGTGTGAAAAAGCATCCTCGCAGGCTCATTGGTGAATACGCGCAGCACCTGCTCGATGTGGCATACATAGGAGAAAGCCCAGGACGCCACTAAAATAATTGAATACATAATGTATATGTTGAGATACAAGGACATGGATGATAGAGTGCTATACATCTGTGTTTCTTTGAACGTGGTATCTAAAGACCTAGAATGCTTGCCGATAGGTTGCTAGTAACTCTTGTCCCGATGCCGAGGATTCACGTGACGTGCTCAAGTAGAATTCCCATCCGAACGGCATTCTGCAATCCGCGCAGCATGGCGTCTTCTGGAATACGAGTAGGTAGAATTTCCGGAAGAATTATGGGTTCAGCCATCGTTCCCGTTGCATCGCACCACCATGGTAGCCCACCATTCTGTAGTCGGATTCCCCAATGCAGTGTACTTGTGGGGTATCGTATCGCTTCCCCACATCGGGCCCCCCTAGTGTCCCAAGTGCAAAGCTTAGAGAGCTTGTCATACAGCACGTCGTTGACAGTCCTTCACCAAGCAGAGTCTATGTGTTGCACTGAAAATAATTTCTTTATTCGTTTTGGGTATTATTATTATTACATAAGTGTGCGTGGGCACGGGAGTATTGAATGCTCTACAACAGGGGGGTATGCTTTGCGTATGTATGATCCCTGGTCTGAACGCGCCTGGGGCACAAGGTATGCTTTTCAGCGTCCTTGCGACCCGCTTCCTTCCCGCGCCGCAACACTCTCCCGTGCCCTCGTTGGTCCAAAGTCGGACACAAGCGCGTGCGGTATTGCGCATGCGTTAGACGCGCTCGGGAGAGAACCTTTTCCGCTCTCAAGGTAGCTGGGCAATGTCGCGGCGGTAGGGTAATGCCTGAGGTTTATCAACCAACAAGGCCGGCCGAGGTCTTCTTACGGACCACGAAGAATAGAGAGACAGAACTAGCGCGTGTTTGCGCTCGGTATACTCGCTGGCTCACGCTAAAGGTGAATAACTTGTTGGTCTGCTGTCTTCGTTCCCTCTGCGGAAAGTCAAATATCGAGTAAGGCCGCCCTCGTCGGCAAGGTAAAGTCCCTCAGCAGGGAGCCAGCTTCTGGATTCACGTGTCTTGTGACTCACAGCACTGACTGCCGATGTTCGTAATGAGCTCTTTGTTTGCGTCTTTTGTTTTTGTACATGTTGTTGCGGTTGTGGTGGTGGTTGTGGTTGCGATGATTGCCGGGGTGGCGGGGTATAAACAGTTGGTGATAAGCGAAAGTTGGGGCTCGTGGGGCTCAACATGGCCGCCGAGCTTGGATGTAAATGCGTGCCTGATGCAATAGAAGATGCACCGGGCGAAGAAGGCTCTGGTAATACGCCCAGGTCCATGTTTCTGGGCGTACTCTGAGGGAAAAGTGAAAGCGTCTGAGGAAACTTGGCCTGTGTGGGTGTTCGTGCACCATTTCCATTTGACGGTTCTTCTATGATATCCTGGTACCAGTCGTATGAACGGAAGCTGAAGCTTGGACTAGGGGGTGGAAGGTCCGGCAAGGAGAGTTGGCGCGCCTTGCTGTCCGAGCTCGTAAACGTCTCGACGACAGGACTTAACGGCTCTAGTCCGCCGTTTGGACCCCCATCTGGTAATGGGACAGCCTCACTCTGCTGTTCCTTCTTCGGATACTGCGCGAGTTCGTACTCTGAACTTTGGGATTCAGAAGCAGGTGTTCTTGAAATTGCAATGGGTGGAGGAGCATTGGCAGCAGGTGGAACATATTCTTCGAACTTGTACCGTGGTGCGCGATCACGCGGCGTTGCACAACCGCGTGGAGTATCGTTGCCCCGCATGGGGCTCACGGCTTGCATCATGTCTTCGTCCATGATCATGCTCTTGTTGATACTGACGTTGAGTGCGTAGATCTTGGTCTCCTTTGGTACCGGCGGAAGGGGAAGTTGTGGAAGGGGAAGGAGCGGTAGTGCCTTTCTGTCCATTGACCCATGTCTGCTGCTTGCAACCTCCTTGATTTCCTGAGGCACTACAACCCTAGCGAAAAGTCCCGGATTCATAGCACTCTGAGAGTTGAAGGGCGGGTATTGGGGACTATTCGGCATTGACGCCACCAGGGTTTTTTGATCTGTCGCATCGGAAGTGGTTCTGCTACGAGATTGTATGGGCGCTTCAATTGACTGGTTGCGAGGCCTCCGTGCCCGACGTTTCAATATCCAGACCGCGATTCCTGTTAACAGCATCAAAAGGGCAACAAGTCCTGTTCCCATTCCAATAGCGGATCCAGTGGTTAGCCGTGAGCTGGAATCGGCTCCTCCAAATGGAGCCGCACTGTCCATGGTGACACATCTCTCATTGGAGCATATCTTGTTGTATGCACAATCACTGTTCGTAGAACATGTTGCGATGACTGGGGTGTTGGTGTAGGGAGAACTAGATTGAAGTGAAGCTTCTGTAGGGCTGGGACTTCGGTCATCCGTTTCAAGTTGACTGGTGGCGAATTCGGATGCCAGGTTGCTTTGTGATGTGCTTGTTGGCGATGAAGATGTTGTGGGTGTGGTGGTTGTGGTCGATGTGGATGGTCCTGGTCTTGGTGTTGAGCTGGTGCTAGATGTAGCAATACTTCTTCGCGTTGAAGTGGGCGTAGTAGTCGATTGTCGTGTTCGACTGGTAACGAGTGTGGTAGACATTACTATTAAAGGAGGGAACAAAAAAGGATATACACTGTGTAAATGAATGGGGCGCCACGCCAATACTTCCGTTAGATACGGTTGGTACGAAAGCGTCTTTATGTCAAGAACACTGACGTCAGAAAAGCAAGGCCATGAACGAACGTAATCTTGGACAGGATCGCTGTGCACGAAAGGATGAAGATCCTCAGTCGAAAGAGGTCTTTGCGACGCAGACCGCTATGCAGGGCGACGCGGGTTAGTCCATATCTTGTAGGGTCCGGCGAGAGAGACTAAAGTTTATTGACGATTAGCGCACGGTGCTTAGGCCCACCTCCGGTTGGTGTCTGAAGATCCCTAGTGTTTGAACCAACGTCGCACTCGTCAAACCTTCTAACCCCCAATTTTGCTTTCCCCATGACTTAGGGCAGACAATGGCAAAGGTCAGGAATCTCGTTTGTTGTTTTTCTTGATCTTGAGAACAATGTAACCCTTCCGGTTAATTTGCGACTACTTGTCCCATCTGTACATGATGCCATTGTTGGTTGTTGCTCTGGCTAAACACGGCTCTACGCAACTGCCGCCACAACGCTACAGAACTTGAGTCATGGAATTGACGGCTACCCCTCCGAATGCGGCACCCATGTTGTTTCAGGGGGACGGAAAGGTACACGATCGTACTATTTTCTGCCTACAAGCCACTCGATATTCTGTTTATGGCTCAGGAACGGGCGAAAAACTGGATACCAGTTGATAACCGTCTCATCCATGGTAGCGAGGGTGCATCGTTTATTGGACGTTCAGTCTTCCTAACTGAAGAGCACTCTTAGCGTCGTTGAAAGCTCAAACTCGACCTTTCTCATTCGATCGATCGCAGGACGTAGGCAAGGTGCAGCTGGATCTAAGTGTTCTCCTTACAGAATAACCAGCCTGCAGAGTGACGAATTCAAATATGCGCATTAAGCGAAGCTCGCAGAAGCTTTTGCTTCCACGGCGAGAGCTATGGGTTCTCAAGGTGTGTAGTGCTGAGCTCCGTGTATGGCCCCCGCCCGTCTGTGGCCGTTTCAATAGACGCACCGGTCTGCGGAGAATAAAGGATGACGATTAGGTCGAAAAAAAACTTCATGTCAGCGTAGACAATGTTGCATGAGTAAGCGCTGCTGCGACCAAGTGTGGTTCTGAGGTGGGTAGCGTCAAAGGCAAAGTTACGTCTGTGCTGGTCAGTGGTCACGCCTCGGAAGTTCATAGTGTCTGTGCAATTGACGAGCTGTGGTAGTCGTGTGGTCATTGATGTGATCAGAATTTGGTTCGCCTACCCTCTTCCCGCTGTTACAGTCCCCGAGGGTTGTGCCTCAGTGGACGAGCGCGTTAGGCATAGAGTGTGTCTACACTGGCGACGCTGGCTAAGCTGGCTACGCTAGAGGTAGGATTAATGTTATCACCATTTGGTACCGTTACTTGCCTGTATCTGCACCACCATGTCTCAATGTGAATCGGCGATCGATTAACAGAATTACAAAAGAAGCCTGAAGCACTACCTTTCATAAGTTCAAGTTTGAAGAGTGTCATTGCTTTCTGGTAGGATTCGGGTTGTGGCGGTGGGGTGGAATGATGAAAACACATAGAGTGCATTAGGTCCAATAGCGATTATTGCTTTATTGTCTGAGATGAAGGACTGATCGCAGCATAGAAAGAGTATAGCGAATGAAGAAAAGAAACGGGTGCGGCTGAACCTAGTGGTTTAGCCGGGGAATTTCTTTTGCACGTGGAATGCGGGAGGGTGTGATCGTGTTTCGTAAGACGGCGAGGTGTCGGAAAACAACCAGTGACTATCGTCGCGACACCATTTTCCGTGGAAGCACCGCGCTCATTTGCTCGTGATCCTGAGAGCAAGGGCCTAAATGACAAATATAGGAAAAATAACTGGCTCTGATTATTCAGGCCACGCGATCAGAGGCAAGGCTGTTGGCTCTCGCCGCGCTAGCCCCTTGCATATCTTCCATTTCGATGCTCCCTCTTTTTCCTTTTTTCTATCCCGACACCTTGTCTTCAAGAGTTCAAAAGCCGCGGGATACCAATTGAAGCGCGGATTAACGAGTCCTGCCGAAAAGCCTGCCGAAAAGCGATAATCGATAATGCAATAGAGAGCGTGACGTGGGGAGGATATCACCCCACAGCCACCCGGCGGAGACGCGCTCTGGCGCTACTACGAGAAGCGAAACCATTCAGCCATGGCGAGTTAGGTACCCGAATGTACATACGTAGGAGTCTCTTGCCAAGAACCCGACTGTTGAGCTTCTGAACGCGAATGAAGGTGAATGAAGTCTTGGAGCGGGGTAACGAGTTCTAAGAGAACCCTGGTACACCTGCTTAGCGCATCGTATTCGGTGACATCATGAATAATGAGCTCCCCGCTATTGGTCTGAATGCTCCCGACGTGTCTCCATGGACAACAGTCTTACTTCCACTACAATCTAGTTATAGCCGTTGATGCAGTTATTCAGGGCATTGCAGCCTCTACGAACCTCACTCAAACTCCACTTCAGCCCAACGTCCCGATTACAAAGATCCACGTTCACGTCATCAACCGCAGCGATGGCGCAAGAGTTCAAGCTCAAGGATGTCACTTCCCTACAGATGAAGAATGGCGAGAAGAAAGAAGCCGAAGTCGAGGGTGTTGAGGGTGGAAAAGTGCTCCTGTTGAAGGTCCAGGATCAAGTTCATGCCACCAGCCCGAACTGCACGCACTACGGAGCTCCATTGGTCAAGGGCGTATTGACACCCGAAGGCCGTCTCACATGCCCATGGCACGGAGGTAGGTATCACTGCGACGAATCCTATACGAATAGAGCTAACACAAGACAGCTTGCTTCAAGGTTTCGACCGGAGACGTTGAAGACGCACCCGCCCTCGACCCAATTGACAAGTACGAGGTAATCGAGAAGGACGGTGCCGTGTACGTCAAGACGACGGAAGAGGCACTAAAGGCAAAACGGAGACATTTGAACATCAAGTGCTCATCTGTCAGCGACGACAAGGTGCTTGTCATTGGCGGTGGCTCTGGTACACTGGGTGCCATTGAGGGTCTTCGGGGCGGAGGCTACACTGGCAAGATTACCGTCATCTCAAAGGAAGGTTATCAGCCCATCGACCGAACCAAGCTGTCCAAGGCACTACTGGCTGATATCTCGAAGCTCGCGTGGAGACAAAAAGATTTCTACAAGGACGGATCTATTGACATCATTGAGGACGAAGCGAAGAGCGTTGACTTTTCTGGCAAGAAGGTGTCAACAAAGTCGGGAAAAGAATACGAGTACACCAAGCTTGTGTTGGCAACTGGAGGCACGCCGAGGTGGCTCCCGGTTGAAGGGCTCAAAGGCGATCTAGGCAACGTCTTCCTTCTTCGGACTCTGCCAGACGTGCAAAACATCCTCAAGGCCGTTGGGGACAACGGAAAGAAGATTGTCGTGATTGGCAGCTCATTCATCGGCATGGAAGTTGGCAACTGCTTGGCAGGCATGAAGAACGATGTTACCATTGTTGGAATGGAAGAAGGTACGTAATGTAGGCATGTGGTTTTGTGCGATATACTGACGGGAGGGTAGTGCCACTGGAGCGAGTAATGGGCAAGAAGGTGGGCGCAATCTTCCAGGGCCTGCTTGAGAAGAACGGTGTGAAGTTCAAGTTGAGCGCGGGCGTGGACAAGGCGACTCCATCAAAAGCGGATGCATCCAAGGTGGGGGCAGTGCAACTCAAGGACGGCACCGTATTGGAGGCAGACTTGGTGATTGAGGGAGTCGGTGTTGCGCCGGCTACCGAGTACCTCAAGGATAACTCGAGCATCACGCTTTTGAAGGACGGATCCCTGAAGACGGACGAGTCATTTGCAGTCGAGGGACTGAGTGACGTGTACGCGATTGGTGACATTGCAACGTACCCTTACCATGGACCTGGTGGTAACGGGGCACCGGTGCGCATCGAGCACTGGAATGTGGCGCAGAACGCGGGTCGATCAGTGGCGAACACAATCAACAACCCGGGAAGCAGGCCCAAGCCGTTTATTCCAGTGTTTTGGTCTGCACTGGGGTCTCAGCTGCGGTACTGTGGTAACACGATGGCGAGCGGGTACGATGATGTGGTGGTACAGGGAGAGTTGGAGAAGCCGTCGTTTGTTGCCTACTACACCAAAGGGGAGACTGTTGTGGCGGTGGCATCCATGATGAAGGACCCGTATATGACGCAGGCGGCCGAACTGATGAGGAGGAGCAAGATGCCGAGCAAGAGTGAATTGCAGAAGGGAGTTGATATTCTGGAGATTAATCTTCCAAGTGAGGTGAAGATTTAGATGGGGGGGTTAGTGCTGATGGGAGTGGGACGGATCAAGTGATTGAGCTTGCAGATTAGGCGTGTGTAGCGGAATCCATTGTTTGAGGTTACAGAAAAGTACGTGGTGCGTAGTGGAATCAAGTGGTCCAGGGTGCCGAGTATAGTATTAAATGTGTAGCGGAAATTGAAATGACGTCTGATGATCAAACCTGGGGCAAGATGTTTCAAAGAATGGGGGGTAAACCCATGCAAGAGAAGGGCGCAAAAGGACTGGGGCGGAGAGAGTGAGAGAGAGCGGAAATGAGGGGCGATGAGAAGGAGGAAATGAGAAGCCGTGATGGGATTTGGGAGGGGTGGTGACGTCGAGGGCAAGCGGCAGGAGCCTCGTGTTGAACCAAGCGAGTTGGGAATGGCGCAAAAGTCGAGCAACGGTGGGAGCGGGAAGGTGGGTCCCTCTCTGTGTCTCGCTATGGCAAGGGCGATCGAGAGCCAGCAAGCTCATTTCCGAGGACGGGCCTTAACGGGTATGGATTGTAGTCTGCATTGGGCTCGTTATCCACGGTATATTTGTACATGGGGCGTTGACGTTATTTGTCAGAAATATGGAAATTGATCCAGTCCATGGCATGTGTATGGGTACACAAATAGGGAAAAAATGCAGGGAGAGGCGCCGTGCACGTGTGGGCAAAGAGTCAGTAGTGCGGGATTGGGGGTCGCCGTCGGTTTGTCCTGCATTGGGTGGAATGGCACTAGCATGCAGGGCGCTTCGTCGCTCGCTTGGGGCGTGGGCTGAGACACGGTGACAGGCGTGTCAGTGTGGATGATGACCAGCATGTCACCCATTTTCCGTCATCTGTCTGTCCTGTCTGTTTTGGCTGCCGGCGGTTGGAGAGAAGTAAAATATTACGGCAAAAGAGGGCCAGGCAGAGAGAGAATCATCATGTGAGCCTCAGGGACCAGGTTTAGGGCTGAATGATGCAAGTGTCCCGGCGCACGTTACATTACATTACTTACTGTAGCACTACTCTACTCTACAGAGCAGCGGCAGCATCATCACCATCAAGGCCCGATTCCGATGCAGGTCATGTGACTGCGGCGGCGGGTGGGTGTTTGTTATTGTTATTGTTGATGTTGAAATGCATGTTTATTGCGAGTTTGCTTTTGCGGCCCCGACTCAAATGCTTCCCCTCGGACATGCACACCAAAAAGAAACGAAATGGGGGCCCAACGGTCAGCAGCCAACCACGGATGCATGTGCGAGGGGAGCAGATAGGCGTCGGTCAGGTGGATGCAAAGGGTGAATGGGTGGCCGGATGAAATGCAGCGAGCGGTCTTGCAAGAGGCACGTCGAGGCAAGGGATGTATTTGAGGCAGGAGCAGGAACAGGAGCAGGAGCTGAGGACGGAAGGCTATAGTAGCTATGGAGAAGGGCAGCTACGCCGAAGGGGTGGCAGTTCGCGACTAGGCCGACGATGGCGGGCGGGCGAGCGCATAACGGGCAATTTACGCGCGCCGGGGTGGGTGGATGAAACAAGCCATGGGTACCCCCCGGTATAGGCCACATCCGACCAGTTTGGCCATGAGAGGAAATACACTGTGGGCCACCATGGCGCCGGCCCTGGGGCGTATCGAGGGCGTGGATGGCGCTTGCTTGGAGAATGAGAATGAGAATGAGAAAGAGAGGGAGGGAGGGAAAAGGTTGTGTCTGAAAAAGGTAGGTTTCGTGGGCGGATGCCATGACCATGTACTGACATGTGTATAGAAACTGTATGTGTGTGTATACATATGTACATGTACATGTATGCCTGAGGACATGCAGTACAAGTATACATGGGATGATATACATGTTCGGTACTTAGAGTGCAGGCCAGTCGAGTGCAGTAAGTAGAGTACATGCATACGTACTAACATGTATACAGCATGTCCATGTGGATGGAATGGACATTGCTGCAACAGTCGGTCATCGTCGATTCCTACAGCAAGTACAGTAGTCGCAGCATCTAGCAGCCCACCAGCCGATGCTTTTGGCGGGCTGGTTTGATGAGGGCCCCCTGTCAATGATGTGCATCTGCGGTGCCTCCTTTCCCACGCCCATGGCCCTTTACCGAAATTGCCAGCGAGACCAACCTCCGCCGCGCCTTCTCTCTCTCCCACCCACGCCGCCCAGCAACAGAGCAGTCAGCAGCCGCAGCCGCAGCCGCCGTCGCAGCAGCACGCCAATCGCCGTCGCGCTGTCGACCGCGAACGAGTGAGTTGTGCACCGAAAAAGGCCGCGAGTCGAGCGTCGAGAGAGTCGAGAGTCGAGAGGGAACGCGCCCACGGCAGAGTCAGAGCCACAGGTCCGCGCCAGAGCCACGGCCAAAAGCCCAAGACGTCAAAAGGCTCAAGTCAACGTCAACCGCCAGCCCACGCCCCGTCAGCCATTAGCGACGCTGCACCACACCAGCCCACTCCCTCGCAGCCCGCGCCCGCGCCCGCACCCACAACCTGCCCTGCCCTGCCCTGCCCTGCCCTGCACGTCTGCACGCGCATGTGAAGGGGCTACCGCGCCAGCAGACGCCCTCGACACCGCGCTCTCCACCACCACGACGGCATTGCCCAGCCAGTCGACCCTACAGCCCTCCTCCTGTCCCCAACACACGCGCGACCCCCTCTGCCCCAGGTCCCAGCTTCAAATTTCACCGCTGCCCATCCCTCGCCCACCCTGTGTGCCCACCCACAGTGCTACAGTGCAGGCCCGCTGCACAGTCAGTCGGTGGTGCAAACTAAACCCGCCTGTCTCCCCGCCATCGCCCATTCGACAGCTCAACACCGCCAGTTCACGCCCACCCACACTTGGCCCTCCCCCCATACCTGGGCCCGATAACGTAGCCTGCCAGTCCGTCTGCGCTGCTGCATACACGCCATCGCCACCCCCCAGACTCCTGCGCCCCAGATAATGGCCGCCGTAGCATCGCAGCCGCCCTACGGTCAGCAGTACCATCAACAACAACAACAACAGCAGCAGCAGCAACAACAACAACAATCGCCTGCCACCACCGCAGCTGCCTCGTCGGCCACCGCTCGCCGCCCCTCGCGACGGTCCAGTAATGGCGCGTCGCCAAACACGCCTTCCACGCCCCAGACTCACGACTCCGCCCTAAACACGTCCCGCGCGCAACCGATGCCCCAGTCCTCCCACTCCTCGCCGGCCACCAAAAACATGTCTGCCACCACCACGACCGCCGGCGGCCCCATGGCTCCTCCCAGGACCTCGTCGCACCGCAGCACCTCCAACGGCACCGCTCCCTCGTCCCAGCAACGCGACGATGCTTCACAGTCGCGTCGCCGAGCAAAAGACAGTCCTCGGCAACAAGGAGGCTCTGCCAGGTCCCAGCCCGCTCATAGCCGCTCCGCAACGGCAATTGGCCAGCCGCCTGTCAACACAAGCCTTCCTCGCGAGGAAAGTGCTGTCATAAACCGCATCGTCGTCTCCGACACCCAAGAAGACATTGCTCGCGCACAGGCACGGCAGGGTGACGGCCCCCACGTCACATCAGCTGCCGACCTCACCCCCATAACAGGACTCAGTCTGGTCGGCAGCGAGGGTGTCGACGATGGCGGCCGTGGGGCCGGCGGCAAAAGCCGGCAGGACCACTCCAAGTCGGAGAACGCGAAGCGATCCAAGTTTGGTAACTACATTCTCGGTCAGACGCTCGGCGAGGGTGAGTTTGGCAAGGTCAAGATGGGATGGAAACGAGACAGTCCCATCGAGGTTGCCATCAAGCTCATACGGCGCGAAACCCTGGGCAGCAACTCGAATAGATTGCAGAAGATTTACCGCGAAATCCACATTCTCAGGGGACTTGACCACCCCAACATTGTCCGCCTTCACGAGATGGTCGAGACCGAGCGCCATATTGGCATTATTCTAGAATATGCGTCAGGCGGAGAATTATTCGACTACATTTTAAACCATCGTTACCTCAAGGATGGCCCGGCACGGAAACTCTTCTCACAGCTCATCTCCGGTGTCGGCTACCTACACCGCAAGGGCATCGTCCACCGAGATCTCAAGCTCGAGAACCTTTTGCTTGACCGCAACAAGAACATCATCATCACCGACTTTGGTTTCGCAAACACCTTCGATCCCAACGATGAGCTTAGCGAGGAGATCGAGTACAGGTTAGGGGACAAGGACTTTATGAAGTCACTGGGCTTGGATGGCAGCGACGCATCACGACGCGGTGATCTCATGCAGACCAGCTGCGGAAGTCCCTGTTACGCGGCACCAGAACTGGTAGTCAGCGACTCTCTCTACACCGGTCGCAAGGTGGATGTATGGAGTTGTGGTGTCATTCTGGTACGTTTCGACTACGGTCATATGCAATGAATGCAAACACTAACAATACACAGTATGCCATGTTGGCCGGCTACCTCCCTTTTGACGACGACCCAGCGAACCCCGAGGGTGACAACATCAATCTGCTCTACAAGTACATTGTATCCACACCATTGACATTCCCCGAATACGTAACACCCCACGCAAGGGATCTCCTCAAGCGCATCCTTGTACCCGACCCACGCAAACGAGCAGACCTATTCGAAGTCGCGCGTCATAGCTGGTTAGCCGACTACGCCCATGTGGTCGGCTTCATCACCTCGAGCAACACCCCTGCCGCCGAGGCCCAACAGGCGTCTGTCTACTCAAGTAAATATTCATGCTTGGGTTCGGTAAAAGACGCATCAGCTGACATTGTACTAGAAGACACATTCGAACCACAACCCGCCCTCGCAAGAAGCGCTTCCGTCCGTGAACCAGCAAAATCACACGCTGCCTCGTCGTCCGCACACGGCGGACTCCAGACCAAACGCGAAGCAATCAACCAGCCCGCCGACAAGCCCAAAGCCACTCGCGATACCAAGCGACGAACCGTCCAAGTCGAATACGTTGCGCCATCTTCGCAAACTGCACGCGGCGAGGCCTCTCCTCCTGCTGAAGCAGTGCCCAAGCCACGCGGAAAAGAAACCGAGGTACCACCCACAGATGGATACCAGTCAGCTACAGGTGCCAGGCCTTCTCGTTCCTCAGGCGCTGTTCAGACTTCAACCAGGAAGCAAGAACCTCAGCGATCTGTGTCGGACTATTCAGCGTTTGGAAATGCGCCCACGTCTGCTACTCGTCCCTCTACGAGTGGTGCTCTCGGCGCTTCCAGGCTGCCCTCGCGTGGAAACTCGTATGGACAGCCATCTGTTGCGACTGTGGCCCAAACAAATGCCGAAGGTCGCTTCTCGCAACCCAAGGGCAAGCAATACTCGATATCCACACCTTATGCACAGCCACAGCACGATTCTTCGGAAGCTGCAGAGGCGCCCAACATTGGCCAGCCAAGCGCGCAACGAACACAGTCGGTACAAATGGGACCACATGGCGCAAAGGGCAGTCACAGGCGTTCCAACACTGTGACGGAGACTCTTGGACGTATGACATCCATGTTCTCTGGTCGCCAGAATTCATATACTCAGGACCCCAAAGCGTCTCTGACATCTCAAGGTTCATATGGTTACCCTGATGATAGGAAGCAAAAGAGCTATCCCCCAACATCCATGGCAGGGCCCATTTCTAATGACAACATCAGTGCAATCACAGGTACAACCACAAACGCCAGGCCGAGCATGGAGTCGAGCCGTCGTACCTCATTTGGCTTTTCCAGGAAGAACAACAGCAGCAATAGTAACGCGAACAATGGCGACAACCCGAAACCGTCGCGACGCTTCTCCCTCATCCCATCGTCCTTGTCCAGGACCTTTACCTCTCAGCGAGAGAGTGCGCCCTCTCAATCCTCGCACGAGCGCCGCCCATCGAGCTCTCGCCCTCGTGCTAGCTCGCGTCCAGGAGGTATGGGCTTTGGCCGTGGCGGTTTGTCCAGGTCTCCTAGTCAGAGTACTCAGGGAAGTAACATGCCCGGCTTTTACGATGGCCACCAGGACAGGAGGAACCCGCACCTGAATGCAGCTGGTCCATCATCTGCACCACCAAACCAGACGCATTTCAACGGCTACAACCAGTCGGCTCCTGAGTTTGACGAGAAGTTTCCCAACCCCCAGGAAGCCCACCCAGCTGCGAAGGGCAACCGTCCATACCAGCAACCTGGCGATGATTCAGATGCTAGTGAAACCAACGGCCGTGGTCGCATGTCAACATCCCAGCAATTCAATCAAAGGAACACATCCAACCCCTACCCCGCAGGAATGGGAGGAGACGAATTCAGCCAGCAACAGCAGAGAAAGGGCGTACTGCAAAAGAGCAGACGCTTTGCTGATGCTTACGACGAGCAGGGCTCTGCAAACAAGGGAAGCTCTGGCAGCTCTAAGAAGGTTATGGATTTCTTCAGGCGCATGGGCAAGCAGAGGACGAGTAGCCGTTGATTGAAATTGAGGTCAAGTTCTTTCTTTTTTTTGCAACAATGTGCAGCAAGACAAAACCATTTGATTGGCATTGGGCTGGTGAGGCTGTTGGATAAGACTTGTTTGCCTTGCCTGAGAGCAAGAAGATGTGTGGGCAGTCGCTTTTTCGCAACGCGTGCTGGACAAGCGGGGTCGGACCCAAGAAAGATGTTGTTTCTTGGGCAGAAACTATGGTGTGTGTTTCTTAGAGCGTTCAAACCAGGCGCAATTGGGGAGCACAAGGCGGGTGGGGTTCTTCTTTTTCTTTTTTCTTGTTCTCACCACTCTTGTTCGGCCTTTTTTTTTTTCTTCTCTTGTTCAAATGTTCCTCTCTCGTGTTTGCTGGATACCACACACACACCACCACCACCATGATCGCCCCAGTTTTACATGTGTGTGCACGAGGGGCCACTTTTTTTGGGGGGGAGAGGGAGTGTGTTCTTACTCACTCTATCCTCGCTTTTTGGTCTCAACTCTCTTATCGCACGCGCGCGCGCATACGCAATGCGGGGGGGGTTTTTTTCCTCGATATTTATTTAGCGTGTTTTTTTCCGATTTTTTGTCTGGTTTAACATATCTTTGACTGTGGATGGACCCATGCCAGAGGCTAATTTATTGTTTTTTTTTCTTGTCTTGCATAAGAATCAGGCGTTTTTTTATCACCTCTATCTTCCTATGGTACTACTACTACTACTTTAGTTCGATTTAAACAACCCTTTTTTTGTTCTTGGTCTCTATTTAGTAGTATATGAGCGGGGATTTTGGTATCTCTAGTTTTTATCTCTAGTTTTCCTGGTTGTGTAAGTCCATCTGGGTTGGACTGAAGGAAGTGTGTATGTCGTATGCGTGTTTGTGTATGCGTGTGTCTATGTGCTAAAGTCCTTAACCATCTCATCCATACGTCCAAGTCTTGAGTATGCTATTAGTTAATCTTTTACACATTGAGAGACAGGCCGAACCAAGGTTTATATCTTTGGTGCCGATGTGAAGAAGGTTTTAAAAAAAAAAGATATAGTGTAGTGTAGTGTAGTGTATACAAAGAATATCATCCAACTCTCTTTTTTCCTATTGATTGATATATGAGTAGTTTGAGGAACAAGGGGGGATTCG